TCTCTTCCTCATTTCCTTTCCAGACTAACAATGTTCATCTGAATTGGGAAACTGGAGTTTTCTGCTGCCAAAGTGTCATCACCATCACATGCCTTGCCCAGCGGCATAGGCGCTCGAGTCACTTGGTATTTTGAATCAATTCCACTGATGATGTTCCACCATGCCATCTCTTCAGACCATCAAGCATTGTCTCTTTGGGTCTGCCTCTTCTAACATTGATCCTTTCAATTATAAAAATAATATGCAATGTCTATATTCTCATCACTAAAGAACACTGACATAGTTTTCAATTTCATTAACCACATTGAGGCAGTTGTTGTTAGTCACACTGTTGTCCACAATACCTGCAGCTTGTGTCTTAGAAACCACATCTCCACAGCCTCCAAGTTCTTCATTTGTTCCCTCACATTCCAAGATAAACAGCCATACAACAGCACTGGTTCAGTGTAACATTTCTTTACTCTTTTTGTGGTTACAACATTAGGCTCTCATCCCGGAGACCCGGTAAGGTGATAGGGTTTTTCTGTCTGGGGGCAAAACTAAACAACCTAACCTGCAGTCTGTGGCGACAGCCCAAGCCATAGTCTAAATCAGACTCACAGCCCCCCTGTCTATACCACCCTCAAACAGACAGTAGTGAGAAAGAACTGCATAAAAATTGTTTCATCCTTTGAGGTACCACCTTCAGCTGGTATATCCTGCTCTTAATCTCAGTTGCACATCTTCCATCGGATGTTATAACTGTCCCCAAATATTTGAACTTCTTGGCCTGTTTATTCTAGTTGCACATTTCATATTTGTTTCTTTTTTGTTATAACCAGTGTCTCTGTCCAAAAGTTGCTGTAAATTCGTTTCTGGCCATCTGTACTGTATGATGTGAATAACGTAGGCTGTTAAAAGGAGGTGGGGGTCGCAGTTCACTAATAAATACTGCACAGAGATGTGATGGTAGATCATATATTCTAGGATTCAAGTTAGGATTAGCTGGCCAGTTAACTGCCATCTCTTGCCTTCTCAGACAATTAGGGAAATTGGTACCCGTTTTGTTAATGAGGCAGGACTGATTGCAGAGCTATACTGGTCAGGAAAAAAAGTCCGCTAGTAAACGTAACTGAACCATTATTCTCAGTAAGTGCAGAAACTGTTACACCATAGCCTAGAAAACAGAGGGCATAACTACAGAAATACTCTCGGAGGGGTAACAAGTTTACCCATGCAGTACACTATATCATAAATTTTATGTTCTACTGTATGGATGGCTTCTGATATCAACTTTATGGTCTACAACATGGTGGTAGGTCATTTGACATTAAATTTATGATGTGCTATCAACTTTATGGTTATCATCAATTTTGTCATGGTGTATCACACAGTAAGTCTTATAATACTAATCATCACAACAATTTGAGAAGACACTGAATACTGAAGTAGTAACTTCTTTAAAACTGATCAACCATTTTTTATGTGCTCCTGAACGAATACGGTATGTTATCACTTGACACTCTACAAACACAAGCGATGATAGCTTGAGTAAAAATCAAGTATTCAATATTTTACCATCAGTATGATTTTTCACAAATTAAATTTAAAATGGTGTGTGAAATTTACAACAACAAAATCTACAAAGCAAACAAATATATGTCAATTAACAACATGTTTATAACTCTAGAACAATCAACATCAACAAACACTCCAGTGTTAGATGTCAACTTGAAACAATATATTTTAACTTAAAAATCAAGAGAAGCAGGTTACAAATGGAAGTCACAAATAGCAAAGACAAGCTATATTAACTCAACTGATAATTTGATAGCAAATTTTGAAAACCACAAATGAAAGATGAAGATGACAGCTCTATGTAAAGCTGATGCTGTCATAATGTTAATTTATGTTAGCTTTAACATAAAATCAATCCACTGTGAATTTAGAGTGGTGTACTGTTGTTAGATTTAATTAAAGGACACCAATGAACCAATGCAGTAAGGTTACCATACAGAACCAGACATAATACCAGTCATATTTGTAAATCTATGCAGTAAAGCAGCGCTATTCAACTGGTGACCTGCGCGCCAAACCTGGCAAATGACCCACAGATCATTGCTGATTGTGTTGTAATAATGGTCTTTCTATGCTGGGTCTCAGGCTTCTGGTCTGTGACAATCCTCATTTTCAAAATGTTGGCTTCTGGGTGAACTTAGCTGAATAGCCTGCAGTAAAGCAAATCAAGTATTGGGACAACCAGTCTCCTTATACAACAGAAGACAAACCAAATCAGCACACACACACAAATCACAAACAAAGCATATTCACTCTAAGCCTACTTTGCCAGTGTCAGACACAGTCACTCACAGCAAACCCGAAAAGAAAATTAGCAACCATGGAAATATGATGTCTGAAAAAGGCTGCAGGGGCGACCAGAAGAGAAAATCTAGAAAACAAAATCACAGAACCAATTCTAAATTACATATAAAGATAGCAAATAAAGTGGTCTGCTTACTTAGAGAGAATGCCTTGCAATGCCATACAATACATACATTAAAGGAGAAGGACATAGCAAGGGAAAAAAAAAACAAGATAACATGAGAGTACAAAAACAGCAAGACGTGTCTATGATCAAGGTGGACTAAATAACAGAATCTTATATCTTCCTCGACAGCCAAAGCGGTACAAGTGGAACTGAAGAAGATTTGTTCACGCAGTCACTATTCAATTAATAGCATCCTAGTCTCAGGTGCCTTTCTTCAAAACTACTGACTGTCTACAAGACTAAACAAATTCTATTAATAAATCACTAAGATGTTCTTCATCCCCAAGTTATGCCATTCATATACCACACAGGGTTTGCAGTTAATTCCTCCATTCCATTCTGTTCAATCCTTTTAATTTCATGTACAGAATCCAGCCTGACACCTTTGATCTCTCGTAGAAACAGCAGACACATGACATCTTGGACACCATTGCCTTCTAAACACATTTATTGTTCATTTCTGTGACTCTTTGACCACTTGATCTGAGAATGTGTCCAATATATCGCTGCCTTTTTTTTCCTTACAACTTGATACAAGCAGCTGTCCAGACATTTCCTTGATGTCCTTAAATTCATCCTAATTAATGTTCACCAATTATTTGTTTAGAAAGATATTCTTGCATACAATTTTAAAAATAAGTGAAACAGAATATAGCACTTTAAGGTGTAATACTCGTTTTATTCTGTGCGAGCTATAAGCGAAGCATAATATAGCACTTTAAGGTGTAATACTCTGTTCTATTCCTTGCAAGCTATAAACGAAGGATAATATAGCACTGTAAGGTGTAAAACTGTTTTATTCTTTGCGAGCTATCTTCAAACGTGTCTCAAAACAACTAATGATCCCTGAAGAAAATACTGTTCTATCTATACACATAGATAACATGTACGTTAAGATAATATTCAAATAATTTGCCACTGATTAAACAGACTAATTTAAAATCTTGGAGATAATAATGGAAAGAGAAGTTAAAAACAAAAGGACTGGTCACCAACTTTCATGAAATTAAGTGTAGTTGATGTTAAGCTTCTAACACACTGCTATTATAAAGCTTTGTGAATGATATTTATAATCTTATTCTTTTTCTCAAACCTCAATAATGAAATGTAAATAATATGATTAATTAGGGTAGAGATTTCACAGAAAATACAATGTTTCAAATTACAGGTATTACTTGACTTTGTTCGTGGCTTATGAATGAATAAACATTAGTTAACCACAAAATGCTATTTATAAACAAAAGATCCTACAACATGCAATGTCCATCCAAGACAGATGATGCTGCAAGGGCTAGGAGTGTTAATACTCAAACCTATACTTTAAGTAATGACACAAGATGCAGTGATCACTCACTTCCTCACCTTTTGCCTAATAAACAATTGCCACTTATTTAGCCTCTATTGTATAAGGTTGGTTTTCTTCCCTTTTAACTGAACTGTTAACTGAAACTCCAACTGCTTATAACTTCAATAATTTCAAATTAGTCAGCTCACAAGTCCTGTTAATTTTGTGTTGATGTTGATGAAAGCAGCAATGGCTCATTCTTTTACTAAATTGCCATCATTATAATTCAGCATTCACCGCACAAAGAAGAGGGAAACAAGGCAACACTTAATTTCAAAGTTTATTTCCTTTGGCGAATAGTAATGTGCTTGGTTAAAGGTTGTATTTATTAAGCTCTCAAATAATACATGCTCCCACAAATGAACACATACATGCACTTAGACCTCCTAAACATTCAACTGCTCTCTTTCTTTCTCTCACATATACACCCAGGATGCATTTTATGTCATTTTCACATAACTGTACTTTCTACTTTATTAGGAAAAAATAAACAATATTTACACATTTTAATAACTCTACATATGAAATTGTGGCTAGTATCAATATTTAGTGGCTTCACACTCAGCCTATGTCCTACACAAAATGTATTCTTAGGAGAAAGCCCAGGCATCTTATCTACAGTGAACACCACAGGAGCCATTTTCCTTTTAAGCAACAAATGTCCCCCCCCCCCCCCCCCAAAAAAAAAACTGATACATTACTCATAATTTAGAGGTTGAAAAACAATGCAAACAACCTTTTTATCATTTGTTAATCTGCCATGAAGACATCTATATCAAAATAATAACCATTACAAATGGTAACTGTGGTACTTTTATATAAGAAGATTGTCAAAAACAGCAATGTTTCTAACATTTTTTCAGCCATTGCATTGCCTGTCCCTCATTATCTATTGAACATTTCTTATAGTAGTATTTTACACACATTTTTGAGGGATAACAATAAGTTTCCTGATAACTGAAGAAGGCCATGTAAGTCTGAGATCTAAATCTGAAATGATTATGAACATCAAACAGAAACTAAAGCGAGTGTTACTCAACCATTACTCTCTATCACACGAAAACTCACTCAGCATTACAATCCACTCATGCATCACATGTGTACATCTTTCTAACTCACATAACCACATCACAACTCCCCCTCTACAGCCTGTATCTTCCGCCATTCCTCTGGCTCATGTTTTGGCAAGAGCTCTTGAACCTTCTTCACAAAGTCGGGCTTTTCAACACATCCCTTGCATGCCATGTCCTCACCCCAGTTGCTGAGAATCTTTTTCAGCTCACCAACTTTCATCTTGTTCAGTTTTGAGAAGTCAGGTTTCACATCTGAAAAAAAAACAGAACAGATAAATGAAAATCATGATCGCCCACTAAAGAACTCACTATGCACTGAATTTTTATAGACAGAACAGTTTTTCTTTTGTGTCTGTCCTCAAGTTACTTTGGTGCCCTTTTTTTGTGGTTTACAGCTAGGCTGCTTGATGTCTGCACCTTTCAGTTCATTGAGCATATTAAATTTCAGCAAACTCTCAATTAGTCTTTTTAAGACATGTTTGTGAAGCGGTAGTGAGTCAACATCCCCTCCCCTACCACAAACACACAGAGACACTAATGATGCTAAAGGACTAACAAGGGGAGAAGAAACAAAAGCATGAAATAATAATGACTTTCCACTTAAATATGTATAAAATATGCCTGCTTGATTTATTTACATCAAGTAGTTGATGAGCAATTAAATTATAAACATCTCGAAGGGCAGGTGGTCGCACATACATGCAATGAAAATATCTATGATGGTGACATTCATACAGAACATGCAGATACACACTCTAAAGCAAACACACACTCTAAAGCAAACAAAAGAAGATGACAGTGAATTAATCACTCAACAACTTCAGTTTAAAGCAGCACTTGACAGCAAAGAGGAAGAGAAATTGTCTTGTAAACCTATGTAGACTTTTTTAGCTGGATTAAGTATATATTTTTGCTAGCCTAATAATGGATGATATATGATAACAAAAGGATACAACAGAGTGGAACAGGGGGATTGACTATAGTAAAATGATGGCATGTAATGCTAGGAACAAAGTAAATGGATCAGTATACAACAAAAACATTCATCACAAGCAACACAAGGTCATAACAATCAATGAAAAATTTCCTAAGAAATTTACACACAGACACAACACATACATGCAAGGAGGAAGGAGAGAGAGAGAGAGAGAGAGAGAGAGAGAGAGAGAGAGAGAGAGAGAGAGAGAGAGAGAGAGAGAGAGAGAGGGCAAGACAAGGTCATAACAATCAATGAAAAATTTCCTAAGAAATGTACACACAGACACAACACATACATGCAAAGAGAAAAAAAAAGAGAGAGAGAGAGAGATAGACAGAGACAGAGCAAGACAAGGTCATAATAATCAATGACACAACACATACATGCAAAAAGAAAAAAAGATAGAGAGAGAGAGAGAGAGAGAGAGAGAGAGAGACAGACAGGCAGAGAGAGACAGAGAGAGAGAGAGAGAGAAACAGACAGGCAAAGAGAGAGAGAGAGAGAGAGAGAGAAACAGACAGGCAGAGAGAGAGAGAGAGAGAGAGAGAGAGAGAGAGAGAGAGAGAGAGAGAGAGAGAGAGAGAGAGAGAGAGACTATGATACATTAGAGAAAATTCATTCACGTTTCACTCACCAAAACGTAACTGACATATCTGCGAATCCATAACTTTCAGTTTCTCACAGATCTTCTCTGGGGGAAGGTGGTAGCTCAATGGCTTGATCACATGGTTTAGAATACCAGTAGCAGCATCTTTAGTGCCTCCAACAAAATAACACTGCAGAACAAATAGAAACAGTTATTATCGACGGTGTATACAGAAGAAAGCACAAAAAGTAAGTGCTGAAAAACGTTTAACATCTCACAATTATGATCTTTAATGTGTTCTCAATCTCTTGAAATGTAAATATTTTTTTATCTTGTTGCTGAAAATAATTTGGACTTTTCCTGTTCTATTTCATTTCTGTCATAGTGTGTTGTTATTACAAGACAAGAAGCTTCTTACTTGTTCTTTGTTAACAATATAGTTATACTGAGAGGCATAAGAATCAAATATACCATCTACTGAAGCAAAGAAGACTACACTGGCTGGGGCATGTCTCCCGCATGGAGGATGGCAGTTTTCCAAAGGACTTCCTGTATAGTGAACTGGAAAATGGGAATAGACCTACAGGAAGGCCAAATCTACGTTATATAAAGACTTATGCAAACGTGACCTCATAGATACCAGCATTGGTACAGGGACTTGAAAAAAATCGGCTGCAGATCGACTACTATGGCGACAGAAAGTGAAAGACGGATTGTCACATTTTGAAAGAAACCAAGCGGAGCAAGGTATAGAAAAGAGACGCTGGAGAGAAAATCAGCCTCCTAGCGGATGAGTATCTGCTCTTTTCTGTCTCCTATGTAGCAGAGACTGCCCCTCCCTCATCGGACTTGACAGTCACAGCAGATGCGGTTCCCAAAGCCAGCGACACATCTCCACACTCCCCAAGGACCGATGGATGCCATTATTGGTAGAGCTTAAGAATCCCCGTTAATTAAGGCCTGAAGTGGAGTTCCTCCTCTCTCCACAGCACAAAGTTTGGGCAGTATTGTAGAGACAATGTATTACTTGTTCTAGTATCTCCCTATTTATTTGGATTTTTAACCTGCCCTTTCTATTCCTAACTATCATAGTTTTTATTATTTTTTGGGAATCAAAATATATAATCTAAATTTCCCTCTGAAACATTGATCTTGTATACAATATCTTTCCACCTATCCTTATAAATGGGACCGGATCTATTCAGTCTACATTTTCCCTTTAGCTTCTCTATTGCAACCTTGCTATCAGCTTCCTGATCTGCAAGATGTCTCTGAATTTCAGAGAATTACAACAACATAATAGCTGGCACCATTCCGACTTAACAGATGCAGGTATTACTTTGTGCTAAGGGAGGTATCCTAACTATAGCCCAGGACGATGGTCTGTGTGACTAGCAAGACCAACCTGTATAAAGAAAAGTCTTCCATCTCTGCAAAGTTTCCCCTCCTGATCTTAATCCTCTATGTAATATAATCCATGGCATCCTGTTGCCATTAACCTATCTCAATACTTGATTCACGTCCTGCTTAAGACACATCTTTACAGTGCAGCAGAAGCAGACCAACAGTTGCCTACTTTACTTATGTCAATAATGAATGAATTAATTAAAAACAATTATTATATTAGTAACATATTTGGTTATCATATATTTTCTTGCTCCTTTTGTGTGTGTTAAATATATTAGTTTAAATGGCTACTGAGCTTTCTTTCCTATCTGATATAGCTTGTCTTTGCAGAAAAGCCAAAATTCTCCAAGATTTAGGGTATCTATCATAGAATCAAGGCCGAAGTGTTGTGATATCCATAGTACCGAGCCGAAGGCCTAACAACTCATGGTTTCTAAATATTTAAAAGAAAAACAAGTAAACATTTAAACTGAGTAGAATACCACTGCTTTTTTTAACGTACAATCTTCATACAGTGGTAAAATCAACATAAAGCAACCTGCTACTAAAATACCTGCAGCTAACAGGAAAATAAAAATGACATATAATTCTCTTACAGACGCCAAAGTTGTAGACAACAGGAAAAGCAAATGCAGGGAAACAACAAAACAGTAACTCACAAATCTGTTTTCCTTTCCTCCTGATGGAAATTTTTCGCAGAACTCTCTGAATTTAGTTTCTAACTCTTCTTGATCACTGAAGAGGTCCTCTGGGGTTTGTTTTTTAAACTTTGCAATTGTGGAAATGCACACTGTGATCAGAAAAGACAAATTTACCATGTTACAGACACCTCAATTCTGATACACAGAGCATGGCTTTATGCATATTTAATCTTCCCACAAAATATAAAAGTGTCAATAGCTTATCCGAATATATCATTTTGAATCTAGTGACAATCAACGTTAACTGTTTATTTTCTGTTAACTAAAACTTACCATCATTATCTTCCAATTGTGTCAATTATATGTTCCAGAGTGCTCGCAGACAATTCATCCATGCCATTCTTTCCTATGTAATCCATTCCATATTGTGTATGGTACACAGCCCAGCACCTCTGCCTCTCTCAACATTCCTCTTAGATGCCATCGCCTGCCCAAACCATTTGATTCTCATTTAACTGCCTCTTTTCTTATTCTTGATCCATTTCACCTCAGAATGCTCAATATTTCACCACCTTCTTTCTCTAATTAACTTAATACCAGCAGCTTTTTTTCTCCCCTGCTTTCTTGAATTCACCCCATTTAATGTTGATTAACTTCCTTAGGATAAGACAAATTAAAACTGACTGAAAATTTTCTTTTCAATTTATTTAGAAAGATTAGCACTACCAGAACTACCATAGCTTTAAAAGTGTAGCAACCCAACTTTGCAATGTCTCTTTTACCCCCTGAATTAGATGCTCTTTTTACTGTTTTCATTTGTTTTGTAGTGTATGATTCTTGCTATGAATGTACTCAATAACATGTCTTGCTGACCCAAATATTTGAAGAAGAAGAAAAAAAAAACAGTTTAGCATGCATGTCAATATTACTGCTGGTTTATCAATAAACTACCATCCATATTTGTTTCTTCTTCTTCACATTGACTGGCTGTAAACTCCGGCAGAAAGTTCTTGTTCATTCATTTCTGAACTCTATTCCTGTTCCAGAACTTGAGTGTTGCGTGCATATCCAGATTAGACAAATCTGTATGTACTATTGGTTCCTTTCTTCTCAGGCAGATGAACACCGACTTCAAAGAAAGCTCCCAGTTAGTTGACTCTTACGACATGTTTTGGGTAGACAGTGGGACTGAATATTCTTGTCTTTCCCATAATAGGGCCCGGAACCCACACTATACTTGTTTTATTACCAAATTTTACATGTACATTTCATTATTTTACCTTATCAAATAATGGTTCAGAGAAAAAAAGGTTAATTCAACTAGCTGTCTGAAGCAATGTTAGGAAATATCTATGTGCACTGATTGGCACAAAATGAGTTAACCTGTCCTTTACATCGTTGTTTTTTGCTCTCTTTTACTGATCCTTGCTGCACAGTACATTTATTGAGACACTTAGGATATTCAAACAATACCTTGAGACAGAGATGTGCTTTTTACAGAAGCATGCTACAAATTCCCCAGACAGGCAAAATGAGTAATCCAGATGTCTTGAAAGACAGAGTTTCAGAAATATAGGAAAGAAATATAATAAGCCACGATATGAGAAGAAAGAAACTGGAATATGTGACAACTGGAAAGAAAGATGGAATAGTAACAGCAGCACACCAACTTATACATGCTGTCGGAAGATCACAAGCTTCTGCGTCAGCAAAGCACTTGATGATGTGAACCGTTAGCTACTGTGGCTCATAACTAAGAAAGAAACAATAACACTGCAAACAATAAGAGGTGACTAAGGAGGATTACCGTCACAGTAAGTCAGGCTGGCTACCTGTTTCAAGTTAAAGAACTACCTGCAAAATACGTCCAATCATAAACAAGTCTAAAAATGACTTGCTGTAAGTTGGTTGGGAACTTATGCTTCCTCCATTAGGAGAAAAGAAGATTTGTGTAAAATTAATACTAAAAACATCTAGATTCATTTAAAGCATTGCATTGGAATGAGGTAGCCATTGACCTGGTCAGTGCCTACTCTGGAACATTCTTAGTCAGTTTTAAAATGGAAAAAAAAAATGTGCTTAAAATATTTATGACTGAATTAAGTAAATTACTAACAAATGTCACATCCTCTAATTAATAAATAAGACATGTAACGCTGACATCAAAGATATTATAGCACCAAGGATCGAAGATGCTGGTATTTAAAGCAAATAATTATTTACAATAAAAATTACTTAAGAAATTAATTTTAATGCTTTCAAAATTAAGAAATCTTAATACATTTGACATACATAATTTAAATACAAAATCCCTGTGTTTGTCGGAAGACCTGCAGTCAAGCTGACTCCTCTCAAAAGATGACGTGCAGACAGGTTAAACTTACACGTATTGTTCTGGCTACAATCTTAAAAAAAAACAGTCATATTTGGGCACTCCTTTACATAACGGTTGCTAGCTGGAAAGCCGACGGTCGCTTAGTGGGAGTTCACTCCCTTGGCTGCATTGCAAATACGGAGTGGAAAAGTCACGAATCAAAAACAAGGTCAACATGGCAGTTAAGACATTGTACTCTGACTCATATTAGCAACCACGTTCTTGTAACGCACGACTTAGTCGCCACGGATGTGACTCCTGCAGATCTGTGTGCCTTAATGACCGACAAGTTTGCGTGGTTAAGGGTAGGGTTAGGGTTAGATGTGAAAATTTTGACGCAGGAGTTCCAAAATAATCGCGCAGTGACATACACACCCGAACAATTGAAGGACTGTGGATGCTACTCAAACGGACAATTAGCCATCAATTGGGCACCATCCGCGTGCTATTTCTGTCATATTTAGGAGAATTCCAGTGGCGCCACTGCCAATAGCATCAGATTGTCGGCCATTATTTGGAACTCCTGCGTCAAAATTTTCACATCTAACCCTAACCCAAACCCTACGCAACTGTATGATCACAGGGAAGTATGTCATTTGTTTCGTTCCCTCTTTACGCTCCGTATTTGAAATGCAGCCAAGGGAGTGGCCTCCCACTAAGCGACCGTCGGCTTTCCAGCTAGCGACCGTTATGTAAAGGAGAGCCCATATTTGCAACCATGTCTTTGGCATATTTCAGCATATTAACCGACAGTCGCATTTCGCTGCAGTTATATCCATTGCAAACTACATGTCTTTACTACACTTCGCCATTATTTAATAAATCGCAGGCAACAGGGGTAATCACTCTGAGTCACAGGTTTGGCACACTGTCTTATTAAGTTGGCATATGGCTAAAGAATTGGAATTTTTTAAAAAAAGACTTCCTTGAACTCTACAGCCAAGTATTGAGATAAATTTAATAAGTACAAATTATTAGGGGAGTCGCCGTGGAAAAGCCACTAGACGCGCCTTGCGGATTGGAAGGTCGTGGATTCACTCCCTGGCGGAGCCGGACTTTTCTTCAAAAATGACCTTGGCTCCCAGGTCGATCCCCCCCCCCCCCTTGAGTAGGTCCCGGGTGCAGTCCCGGGAAGTAGAAGCGGCCGGCGAGATGCTGGCCATTTCACCCATCTTGTGCCATTGGTCTATAAAATACTGAGATACCGCTGAACTCTGTTTTTCAACCTCTAAACAGCTATCATGGTTTAAAAGCAAAAGGCCCCCCCCCCCCCCACCCCCCCACTTTATTTGACTTGACACCCTAAATATAGGTCTAGCCATATATGCCCTATACACCTAAAGGCGTGGAAAAGGGTATTTTACTTACAATAATTAGAATAAATGTAGATTGCTTTACCCTATCCCAGGCGATGCCGAGAAATTAAATCTAGTATATTACAATTCTCAGGCGAGCAGAGGTAGGGTAAACATTAAAAGAAGGCAGCAACTGGACTAGCAAGGGTAGACTAAGAAACAAGTTCAGGAATGACAAGAGATCTAACTAATAGACTATCAGTGTGAAATAATGTGTAAACAGGACAAGAGAATGTGTCTGAGATCGAATCTTTACAATGGAGACGGTATTTGACTTACCTTCACAGTCTCTTTCGTCTTTCTTTGCATCAACCGAGACAACCACCAGAACAATCAGGAAAACGCCAAGCAATGCCATTTTGAAGAAGTCTTTGACGTTCATGATTATCTTCGCCCGTTCTCTCCACACTTCACTTCCGATACAAATAAACGATTCCTTGTCACCTAATTTTATTAAATAGATAATTTAGTTATTGCCTATTGCTCACTCACGCCTCAACAAGCGTAGAAGATCTAGAGAAAGAAAATAAATCACGTCTAATCTTGTCTCTCTGTGGCAAGCCGCCGCAAGCTAGCCAGTCACAATGAAGTGAAGTGACTGTGAGGTCAGTCGTTCTTTGCTGAGAATGAAGACAAATTTAACTTGTGATTTCAAACTCTGAGATAAATCGACAATTTTAATGATGAAAGATTCTGAGCGTGAAGCTGTCAAGCCGACTTATTGGAGAATATTGCAAAGAAATCGCAGTAACACGTCGCCCTTAAAGACTAGTCAGTCATTTACCCGTGTCGTGTTGCTATTCTAGCCGGTACAGTTGGCGGCCACTGATTGGTCAACTCCTTGCTTGGATGTGTAAAATCCATGGAACTTTCAAACGGGAAGTGACGAAATACACATCTTCAGGCGTGCGGAAGCTGTAACTTTCACTTTCGCTTTCTTTTAGTTTTTATTCAGTTGGAAGTCTGTTTTATAGGGTTTTAGTAAGTTTAAAATATTATGTGTGTGTGCATTGTAAAGGACTCATGAAAGATAAATATGAGGAAAATAGGCAAGAAACAAGCCCATATGTATCGCAGGGATTGACGTTACGTTCTGTTATCTGGTAGTTTAGCGGCTCACCCCGTAGTTACTCCACTCCCGTGCCAACGCAGATCAACACACACGGATTGTCCATCACTGTCCGTTGTCAAAGGATTGTCTCCTAGGCTTGTAGAGAAATTGACGGACTGCAGTCTGGGCATTTCCACTAGCATATACACACACATTACAAACATGATGCAGCCATCAGAACCCAGTCCAGAACATCTTTTCTACCTACACCCGAGCGTGAACCCAGATCACAAGGAGTTCGTCACCCAGTCACGTTTGACATACTGAGCTAGCAAGCTGGGCAAAGCAGCAGTTACAGATAGATCAGATTAGCAGTAGTCAGTAGCACATGCAATCGATTTTAATCACCACCAAATCAACATTTTCTTAATCTGAAGTTCACAGCACTGTTGATTACAGTCAAAAAATCTTTCAAATGAAATCCACATCACAGAGTTGTGCGGTGAACTTAGCTCAGTAGCTGTGCAACAAAACGATATCCTTTCAGTCTAGAAATGGAAGTAAATGCAGCGGCCACCATCTGTTAGAATCAAAAAACGTTACCATGACTAAATAACAGTGACCAAGCCTATCATTCATTTGACTGACTGACTTTCTACCCCACTAGAACATCACACAAATGATAATCACCCGATGACACAGTGCCACCATGTGGATGAGGATCGCTGTGGAGAGGTCCCAGAAACCGCATTCAGACAATTGGCCATATTTATGGCCTGTCTATATTGCAACCACTGGCAAAAGCCAGGGTGGAGCTTCAAATAACAAAAAATTTCATCCTAAAAAGGATGAAAGTTGATGACTCTTGGATTGGATTGGATTTTTTACCCCACCAGGACATCACACAAGCGATAAACACCCGATGACACAAAGTGCCACCATGCGGATGAGGATCACCGTGGAGAGGTCCCAGAAACCGCGTTCAGACATTTGGCCATAATGATGACCTGCCTATATTGCGACCCCTGGCAAAAGCCAGAGTGGGGCTTCAAATAACAAAAAATAACGTCCTAAGAAGGACGAAAAGTAGTAATAATTGATGACTCTTATCATTCATTTGGAAAAGGTGTCTGTTTATCTATCTATCTGTCATGCATTTCATGTTACCATATATCTATTTGTGTATCTCTCTCTCATTGACTGACGTTCAACCTCACCAGGACCACACAGTGAGCGATAAACACCCAGTGACACAAAATGCAACCATTCAGATAAGAATGACCCAGGTGCAAGTCCCAAAAATTTATTTCAACAAAAAGTAAAGTAAACTGTCACTGGAGTTATATATATATTTTTTCCCCAGTTACATCCCTTACATCTTCTTTTAAATGTAGACTGTAAGACAGGGGCATCAGTGGAGGTTGTTTTAACTCTTGAGTCATGCCCTAAGTCACTGCCCCATCACTCTAAAGAGGTACAGAGGTAGTGTTAGCGATAACTATGGGAAGATCTGGCCTATGATGCTCTTACCATTCTACCTCAGGCCATGAGGGGCCAGCTCCCACACCATATAAAAATTATATGGAACTTAAATTTCAGAGAAGTTATTAGAATGAAGTGTCAGCTCACTAATTTGTATCATACTTCGTTTCTTACTGTTTTGTAGAGGATTATGTGGTATAGTGACTGCTAGAAACCAGACTAGAAAAACTCTGGTTTGGGTGAGTTCCAGCTTACAAGCTAGCAGTGCACAAAAGTAGGCTAAACCTCAAGGGACTTTTAAAATGACCTTGAAATCTATATTTCCATCTTCACCTGTGTAACAATCTAGCTTTCTCTCTTACTGCCCACCTACCTATCTGTTTAAAAGGGTATTGGGTCAGCACACTAACTGTATCATATATTTATTTTCTTACGCTTTTGTAGATGATGATGTGTAGAAAATGTACTAGGAACCAAGAACATCTCTAGTGTGAGTGAACTCTTGCTTATAATTTGGCAGTGCACAGAAGCAGGCTTAACCGCAAGCAGCCTTTAAAATGACCCAGCTGACTTTGCATCCTGATGTTTATCAAACACTTCTGGCAACATTTGTGAGTTATCAACTAAATGTTGTGAATTGTATACAATACAGGCATACAATAATTGTGCTTCTATCAAGCCATCAGAATGCTGCCGCTACTACCTCCACCTTCATTCTCATACTGGCTGTTGTGACATTATAAGCAAGGTTTTTTTCTTTTCAGTTTCCATTCGCCTTGGCAATAAAATTCCATTCATCGTACCTCTAACTACAGACCCATCTGTGCTTATCTTTAAATGGTGCTAAATACAATTATAGGGTTCTTCAGGAAGCCAGATTTCTCTGATGTGCTGTTACCCTATCTAAAACTTTAGAGAGCACATTACGCATTGGTTGAAATTCATATGGTCATCTCCGAAATACATCCAATATTGCTTGGAGCTGAGTTAAAATTTGTTTTCATTCTAAAGTCATCATGTAGCAGGTCTTCTATGGGATGTTACTCCTGTCATAGCTATCATAAAAATTCTCATTCCCTTTCCAGCTCCCCTACCTAGTGTATTATTATAATTATTATTTATGTATGGATAACAGTAAGTTAGAGGTCAAGAATTTGAGAAGAAACATACCAGCAAGTAGTGGCAACAATGGCCCTGATATCCCATGCATTTATTGCTGGTCTGTTCTTGATATGAGCTGGTCTTACTTGTAACATGCCATTGCCAAGGGCCATAATTCTTTTGCCTCCCTATATCACACTGTAATACTATCTAGAACAGTGTCTCCCAAATTTGTTTGCCCCCCCCCCCCCCCCCCAACCTTTTCAGCAAAAAAAAACGCTCAGCGCCCCCTCTCCCTGGAAATATAATCATCATCATGTGCCACACCAAAAAGCACAGACAGTCATCATTGGCAATCCTACAGGATCACCCACTATAGGAAATACTGATCTAGAATGACAATGTCGATTATTGGTTCTTTATTTAATTTTTTTTTTTTTTTAAATAAATAGACAAATTATTTCCCTAATAATCATGTTATAAAAGTCATCTAATTAGGGGTGCTTTCTTATAAGTTAGAGTTTATCTGCCTGAGGGGTAGGAAACCAATAGCTTGCTTACAGATAAACCAGATCTGTAAAATGGATGTCCATACAAACTATTCCGAAACCGATCAAAGTTCTGAAACAAAACCAAAGTTCATAAGTAGACAAATATCCAGAAGAAGATGAAAAAGAAAAAGGACAGAAAGTTGCTTGCTTGCTTGTTGTACCAGGACATCACACAAGGGATAAACACCCAGTGACACATGAGGATCACCCGTGGAGAGGTCCCAGAAACCCCTTTCAGCCATTATGGCCACAATTGTGGCCCAGCTATATTCAAGGTCCCTGGCAAAAGCCAAGGTGGGGCTTCAAATAACGAAAAATTGCATCCCACATGGTGACAACTTGGAATTAATATGCACAGAAAGTTGCCAGTAACAAAATATCTGCTATTTGTTTATTTAATACAGCATGATGAAACACGCTTGGATAGCCTCCTGAGTTGCTTGACTTCACCTCCAATGTTTACAACACTTCGTTTTGACACAAGCCTTGTTGATGGCCACACAGCACTTGAAACTCTGTCTTCGTGTTTGGCTAAGGTTTGTGTAGCATAAATATGGCTTATCCTTTTTGTATTAACAGTAGTCCCCCAACAGTTACTGCCCTTTCAGTGTGAAGTGTTAGGCATTCACACCTCCATGTGGGATCCATGACCCTCATTTGACAAGCAGGTCTAAAAGTCAACTATTTAGGGGTGTTTCCTAGAAAGTCAAGTATATTTGCCTTGGAGGTGGGTAAAAACCAACAGTATTCATATAAAAAAAGACCAAATCTATAAAAGAGATTTGCATGCAAAACTTAACTTCTGGAACAAGACCAAAACCCATAAGTGGATGAACAGCCAGAAGAAGAAAAGATCTTCACAAATTCTACTGCATGGCATACAAGGTGAGGTGACTTCTTCCCTAGTACAATTTCCTAGAACCCATACTGGGCTGGGTTGATCTGGGAGTCCATATCAGTTGAAAAGTCTGCCCAAGTACAGATTTAAACTCATGATCACTGGGTCAGCAGGCAAGTATGCTTGTCACTGCACTGTTGCGGCTGCCCTCAGATGCAATGATGATTAATATCTACCTTTCATCTCATGTAATAGATTACCATGGTGTGTGTTATTTAATTGTTTTCTACATCAGAGGTGACTTTTTCATGAGTTACTGCCCGCAAGAGATGTTACTCTTCTAGGCTGCGAGCAAATATCTTGTTATAGGGCTGAATCTCAGCAGTTTAGCGTTTCTTCCACTCAACCAATGTTTTAACCAATGGTTGTCATTTATTAGTATGTTCAAAAAGCGGACTCTATTACCTAGGCTCCAGATGAGTTTTAGTCAGCGTTATGGGGGTGGGCTGATGAGAGCCAGACTGGATACTACATCTCTAGAGGCCACTACCTGGCACCCAAGGTGAGGTCAAGTATAACCCCTTATACACAACAGCGGCTTTAACTTTCTCTTATGCCTGTGATCAGAATCACCACACCATTGTCTACTGGTGTGAAAATGGTCGTTTACTTTTATTACTTGAATCTTCCCTTTTAAGTTGCATATAACAGAGAACTCTGAATACCAGAAGAAGATAATCTTCATTGTTGATGTATATAAATGTGGAAGAAATATAAACGTTAAAGATAATTCATTTTATGTCCTTATCACTTTCCTTCTCACAGTGGAAGACTGTCTTTTAATTGATATTGTTTTTATTAAACCACATAATAGCTTTGTCTCCTTTCTTATAATTCTGCAGATTTGCAAAATAGGTTTCAAATGTTAGGCGGGCTGCTGAAAACGGAGTCAGTGCTTATATGAAAATCCCACAAAATATCGATCCAAATAAGAAATAGAACTAGTCAGCTATAATACCAAAATGGAGAAAAAAAAATGGATGTTGCAGCTAGAAAATCTTCATGAGCATACAACACAAATGGACCTTGATACAATAGAAACAAGATTATGTAAAATCACTTAAGTTTCGCATGAAGTCTGTCACAGTATCTCCATCCAAGGTTGAACTGTAGGTTCTCGCTAGATGCTGGAGAGACCAAGATAAGGGAGTTAGGTGTGTGGGTTGAGAGGCTACAGCAATGAAGGTAACTCAGATTTGTTTTAAGATAAAACTGTGTTGGACATTAAAGCCTTTAAGAGTTAGAGAACCTAATAGCTAGATTAGATGATTCTCAAAAGACTTATGAATTCTTTATTGAATTGACTAGACTTTAGGGCTGTTACCTCCATGTGGAAAATACCTCACTGACTCTGTGTGTGTGTGTGCCTCCACGTACACAGATATACCAGGTGCTGTGATATTGATTCCTAACTCTACTTAAATCAACAAGTTAATAAGACTAGGAACACAATAAGATTTTTAAATTGTTGCAGGTGCAAATTTTCTTCTGGTCCAACACCAGATAACTTAAGGCAAAGTGTTCACCATTTGTTGCTATTTTTGAGTACCCAGTGTTTCCCCTTTTGTGTTGTTTGATCTTCAGATTCATTAAAAGTATTGGTTTAAAACTGAGTTTGTTTTACAACTATTAATGTTCTTCTGTTATGTAGCAATGCAAAGAGACACACAGAGAAAAGTATGTTATATTCCAGCACCCTGTACTTCCAGACTGCCTTGTAATACAGAACAGAGGACCTCATAGTCTTCAGCAGGTAAACTATATGTACTGACCCCTTCCCGCCAACCTCCCAAAAAATCAAAAGCAGAAATAAATAAATAAATTACAGACAACTAATGTAATGTATAGATTTGATTTGATTCAAGAACCGACATCACAGCACTCGGGGCATTCCCATAACCGCCCCGTCTCCATCTTCGGCAGCCAGCAAAGAGTTCCTGTACTAATGGTGCCAGTAGCATTTTGATTAAACATCCATCTTGCGTTTCCTCTGAACTTCGAGCATTTGCCAGAGCCTCTCGTCACTCCCCCCTGCATCAATCTGTGGTGATCCATCTGCTCCTCCGAACTGTACACGCTCTCCCACAAGGCCCTAACCACGTCTGCCTTATCATGTATCAGTATTATGTAATGTATAGATAAATAAATGCAAGTATGGTCATTCGATGTACCATTGTCCACATCCTTCACCAAGGGCATACTGGTCTATTAACGAAATCGCCTTAGAAACGCCACAAAAGATGGCTCATAACCCTGTGAGAAACCTGAAAAAATCCTTTTAAAAACAGTTTACACAGGTTGTTGATATTTTTAAAAACATTTATTATATATCTACCTTATCTAATTATGTGGTGTCCGTGGATTAGGTCTTGCGAGTCTGACTTGCAATTAATTCCACTGTCGAAGCCAATGCAAAAGGATCTGATGCCAAATTGCCTGCAGCAGGGATGAAACCCAACACCACGGCATTACAAAGTGTGTTTGCAATGCCTATACCACAGGCAAGACTATAAGAAGAACAATGAATAAACATGAACAGGGTGCATAATTAAATGGAATACATTTCCTTGGGCTTAAAGAACAGCATGTATCAGGTAACTCATGCTGTAGCCATATGGCCACTATAACTCAGGCTTACTGGAAAATTTGACATCAACTTGGCTTTAAAAAAGCCATTTGATTAACGGGGAAACCCATCTTGAATGCTTATCATGACCTCCTATACATTTGCTTAGGTGTGAAAATAATCAGTGGCATTAACTAGATGTCTTGTAAACATGTGACTATAGAAATGCTGGTTAAACAGCATTCTCGGTCAATCAGATCTACCGGAAGTGCCAGGTTTATGGTTGCCATGGGTGAAAGGATTAAAATGTAGGTCTGCCACTACATGACCAATGCACCAAACTTGTGTGAAAATGATCATTTACATAACTTTTGTCTTCTCTAATATTGTTAATTTTATGTAATAAACATTCTCTAATTACGCTCGCCTGTGGATCCAAAAGTTGGGGATTGAAATCGGCATGGAGCCTGATATTTTGTCCAGACAAGACCTTGGTTCCCAGTTCAACCAAGCCTTAAATAGATACCAGGTAAAGTCCTGGGAAGTAAAGGCTGTTGGCATGATGTTGACCACATCACTCATCGAGGACTAATCGGTCTGTCAAAATTCGAGTCTAGCCTCATGTGCCCGATGCACTACTGTTGTGTAAAGGGACCTTTACTCACTTAACATTGTCTAGTTGCTTTATAACAAACATTTAGGTTACTTAGAGATGTATAGACACACACAAGTATTCAGTGTTTTGGGAAGTGAGACATGAGTTTAAGTGGGGAATGAGACAGGTGTTTAAGAGGGAAATGAGACAGGTGTTTAAGTGGGAAATGAGACAGGTGTTTAAGTGGGAAATGTGACAGGTGTTTATGTGGGAAATGAGACAGGAGTTTAAATGGAAAATGAGACAGGAAATGAAGTCCAAATGTATGGGAACCTGATGAAAGAGACCAATTATTTTTGACATAAATTTTTTTGTCTTTTCTTTCTTTTGACATAATTTTGTTTCAGTAACCGATACGCCTAAAGGCGTGGAAGGGATCTTTACTTTACTTTACTTAATACAGGAGGTTGATATTTGGGACCAGTTTTATTTTTAGCAGACTGTTTGTTGTGGCTATACATTTTATTTTTCCATTATAGCCCCCCACCTCCCCCCCCCCTTTTTCCACACACACACACTATATTTTTGTAAACACATGAAAATAACTGGATATTTTTTGTTTGTTTGTAGTAGACACTTTGATGATAGAGGTGAGATAAGCCTTGATGATGGAAAATGCTAGAAAGGTTGAAAACTAAAACAAAAAAGTTTAGGCATGAGTAAAGATTAAGCAAGTAATTTAGCACCAGATGTTCTGAGATTGTTTGAATTCACTGGCTGTAAACCCTCGCAGAAAATCCTTGTTATTTATCCACTTCTAGGCTTTGGTCAAGACGTGAGTTTTGTATGTGCCTACATTCTACAGCTGTGGCCTAATTGTATGCAGACTGTTGGTTCCCTGCCTCTTGGTCAGTTGAACTCCGACTTCGAAGGAATCCCATAATTAGTCGACTCCTACAATATGCTTGTTAGGGAGGCAGCAGGTCTTTTCTTGTTTTCTTCCAGAATGGGGCCTCAGAACCCACATGGGGCTTTCAGAGGTATTGTTGTTGTTGTTGTTATCGATCCAGCGGCGCATGAGCTTTCGCCCTTTGGCCCAATGCCATGTAGTGGAATTTGCATGTTTTCACAAGCTGTTCTTTTCCTCCGTACAAGGTGTTCCACTTGTCTGGTCTCGGAGGGAGTAGCGTTCTTCTTGTCTCACTGAGTTTTGGGCACTCAAAGAGATGGTGTTCAACAGTTTCGTAGGGGTAGTTACATAGCTGGCACTCTGGGGAGTGTTGTGGCTGTATTCTGTTTAGGTGTCCATTGAGTGGAGTATGTTGCGTTCTAAGTCTGAAGATGGTGGCCTGGTCCCTTCTTGTTAGATGGTTAATGCTGTCATTAGGATCAGGGCCAGACATATGTCTATAAACCTCTCTTCCAGTGTCTCCCATGGCCCATCTGTTCAACCAAGTCTCTTTGTTTATAGCTCTTATCAGTGTTTTTGCTGTCTGGAGGGTTGTCGCTGTAGGAATATGTCATTCAGAGGTATAACAGTGACTAGTGCATGGTAAGTTGACAAAATGAACACAGCAGTTTTAAAGGAGGATTATTTGTATAAACCTGTTAGACATTGTTGGTACTGATGTTCTTTGTTTATATGATAGTGCATTTTCTTTTTGCTCTATGCCTTCTTAATGTTATTTATTTTTAGCCACCATTAATATTATTCCTATTTGAATTGTTATTGTCCTGCACTAACAGCATCAGAAAGAAGTCATTGTGGATTTGGCGTCTTCTCTTCTTTTTTTTCCTTATCTTATCCTTCATATCAGTGGGCCGACTGTCCAGAAAGCAATGGCAAACTACTGGACATAATTTGCATAGAGAAACAATACAACAGCCAGGGGCTGCTGGGGTTGGTTCTGCAATGTCCTGTAAAGGATACGCAACTAACCTTATACTTCTTCTTCCTCCTCTATCTTTTTCTCCTCCTCCTTCTTCTTCTTCTTCTTCCTCATTTTCTTCTTCTGTTATCTCTTATCTCCAAATGGAAAATAGCCTTTAACCATTTTATGCCATGACCTTTATTGATTTGTTCATGATAAGATGGATTTTGTAGCTGAAGTTTTCCATGGGACTAGGTTACTCAGTTTGACACCAACCCTCCTTTTTACCTCTTATGAAACATATAGTAGTTCTTGGTCCCACAATTCTTTTTTTCATTTAAGGGCCCTGGTAACTCACAGGTGGTCATATACATTTATGAGGAGTTAATTCTTGACTGTATTTTATTGGGTAAATTTCGTACTTTTCAATGTTAATAATTCATTTTTAAAAACCTGTAAACGTGGAACATTGCTTGCTAAGCAGATTTCTTATTATCGGAAGGTCATAGGTTCGCTCCCTGGCAGAGCCAGACATTTTTTTTTAAATGACCTTATGAAGGGGTGTATGAGCATGTGACATTGGTATTTTATATTGTATCCATAACATGTGTAGTCGCCGTGGCGCAGCGGACAGACTATGATCGGAAGGTCATAGGTTCGCTCCCTGTGTCATTGGTATTTTATATTGTATCCATAACATGTGTAGTCGCCGTGGCGCAGTGGACAGACTATGATCGGAAGGTCATATGTTCGCTTTCTGGCAGAGCCAGACTTTTTTTTTTTTTATGACTTTGGCTCCTACGTCCACCCAACCTGAGTGAGTACCGGGTGCAGTCCCGGGAAGTAAAGGCGGCTGGCGTGATGCTGACCACATCACCCATCTTGTGCCGATTAGTAAATAAAATATAGGTCTAGCACTATATGCCCTATACGCCTAAAGGCGTGGAAAAGGGTCCTTTACTTTTTTTTTTTAACCTGCGTAACATGTGTGACATAATCAGCTGCCTTTACCACTTTTGCAGTGATTTACTTTATCTCAGCAGTTAGTTGTTACTTTTTTGTTAGTTTACAGTCTATGGTGTTTGAGAATCGGTTAAGAATGCAGGAGACCTGGGTTTCAATCCTCAGTAAGGTTGGATATTTTTCTGACAAGGGGCAAAAATGAAATCTTAACCTGCATTGTCCATGGCAACAGCACTAGCCATGTACTCATAAATCCTCTGGCTCAAAGACACCTCGCCCCCCCCCCCCCTTTTTTTTTTCTTCACACCTCAAATGTTTACTTTATCTTCCACAATCAGAGTTTACCTTATCTTTAACAATCAGTTTTTACCTTATCTTCAACAATCAGTGTTTATCTCCAACAGTCAATGTCTACTTTATCATCAACAATGAATGTTTATTTTATTGTCCTCAGTAACTGTTTATTGATGATACTTTTATCTTCCACAACTATTGTTTATTTTATTTGCTAGTAGACAATATTTATCTACCCATACATTGTTTATTTCATCTACATTAGTCTGTTTTCTTCATCTGCAGCAGTGGGATTGGGGTTCGGATGTTTCAACCAGTGTATGAAGCCCCATCTTTGGCTGAGGTGTCACTGGCTTGGATCTCTGCTCAGAATCTCCCATCAATTACTTGTGTACATGCTTTAGATCCGCAGAAAGGAGAACTGATTCTAGACATGTGTGCCGCTCCAGGTGGGAAGACTTGTCATATTGCAGCTCTCATTGGTAACCAGGTGAGTTACAGAAACTTATCCTTGGGATGGGATCACTAACAGTTACTGAATTGTCGCAAAAATGGCAGACAGGCTTCGCAGTTAAATTGTTTTTGCATTTGGTGTCACCGTCTGTAGCTTAGGCATTGCGAACATGATTTGTAACGCCGGGTGCCAGGTTCGATCCCAGCTGCGGACGATTTGTCCTACGTTGGTTTCAACAGTGGTACCAAGAGCTGATGTTCAAAAAACAGTGGCAAACTAGTGAACCTAAAATTTGCCTAGAAAAACCACAACAGCCAAAAAATGCTGGGGTTGGTTCTGCAACGTCCTGTGAAGGATACGCAACTAACTTTAACTGCATATGGTATGTCATTTAATTTGTTAAATTCTTTAGAATTGGTAGTCTTAGTTTCAGCTTCATAACAAACGGGTCACCCCATCTTTGCTCTGCTCCTGTGCCAACGAATAACACACAGAATGTTTATCACAGTCCCTTGTGGAAAGATTGACAGACTGCTGTCTCAACATATCTAGCATACACAAGCATTAAAGCATACGGTAGCCATCCAAAGTGCTAACACAAACAGTCTGACATTAGAAAGTTCATCATTGATGGTAGTAGAAGTCACCAACAGATCAGCAGTTGCCCACGCGATCAATTTTAATCACATACGGGCACCACCAATATTGCGATATAGGCATCGTGCTATTTTATGAATCTACAATTCACACCACCACATAGGCCACAGTAAAAAAACAAATGAAATCTGCAGCTCACAGTGTCACGCCATGCATTCAACTCAGAAGCTGTGCAGCGAAACTGTATCCAGTCTACAAATGGAGCAAAAATGCATCGGCCACCCTCCGGCAGAAGCAAAAAATTTGCCTCGGCTCCAAACAGTGCCCTTGCCAAGCGTCCATTATGACCTGAGTTAGAATTAGCATGATAAGGTTAAAAACAAAGTTCCTTTAGACTCTCTTTGTTTTTCCTACTGTAAATATTAAGATTCTTTAATTAGCCTTTCTGGAAAAGTTTTTGTCATAATTTGATTGATTGCCCATTTATTTACATATTGAATATAGGCATCACAGTTAAACTGCAATTTTAAGTTTAATTTGCTTGATTATTTGGAATTAAGAGGATGGGGTTAAAAAACCCAACTAATTAGATGCTATCCCTGCTATTGTTGTTGCTCATTTATTTACAAGGTAACCTTTTGTGCTGGTGAATTTATGTTGTATGAAAATCCTTTTTTTTTTCTGTTTTAGATTACTGAGCTGTTTTTTTTTTTTTTTTTTTTTTAGGGAAGTGTAATTGCTTTAGAAAAAAGTAAAGAAAGAGCTAGGAAAATGGAGAATTTAAAATCAGCATGCATTGAAATCTATACCTTTGATTCAACAAAAGCTGTAGCTGATGATGCAGGTAAATTATAAAAGCTTTTTGTGATATTAGAAGGGATGATGCATTTCTTGTCAAGCTGAAGCTAGCATTGCATTTTCACTTTGCTGTGTAACTAGAAAAAGGCATGTACATAAGTTTACAATTGCCCTTGTAACACAAATGTTTACATTTCAGTGAAGTGTTTTTATATTTAAGTTAAAAGAATTAATTTGATTGCTTTAGCATTAATATTTTTGTACTATGCACATGGGGAGATAAGTGAAATATGCCATGCAAGAAATGCAGTCTGTTTGCAACTTCTTTGTTCACATTTCATAATGGAGAAATACTGTTCACCTTTCATGATGGAGAAACATTGTTTTAATCTTTTTTTTTTTAATCCTAGCCTGTATTTTCCCACCTTTCTTCCTGAGTTTTTTTTTCTTTGATTGGTCTTTTGTTCATTTAATGCATGTTTGAAGTATTCTTTGTGATTTTAAATAATTTTTCTAAGCAATTTATTTAAATTTTTTTATTTTTAAGTATATTGGTTTTAGCATTTGTGGCAATGATATAAACTCATCTACCTTCAGTTTTAATAACCTTATAGACTCATTTTAATCTGCCCATTCTCCCCCAGTGGAACCAGTTCACGCCAGGTTGTCTTTTCCTTTGCTGTTGCAAACAGCTCACCCCATGTCCTGTCTGTCTGTTTAACTTTTTTTCTCTAGCTGTTGACTGAACTAATAAACAAACACATCTCATCTTGATCCTCTGGTACCTTGAGGTGTTGAGGTGAAGTATAATTTATGGAAAAGTGCCCGTTTGTACACTTCGTAAAATGGGGATTGCCAGGGATTCTGCTGTTCCCTCTCTCCATAGTTTGCATGGTTGGCCTATTCTTCGCTTCCCGCCTGGTCTGTAACTCATTGCTTACTGTGTTATACTGTTTTCTGATATACGTGTTGTATGGCCAAACCATTTTACCTGTTGTCTTCTAATGAAATTCAGAGCTACCACTACCCTCATTCTACTTCAGATTTCAACATTCCTGATCTCCTATTGTTATATTGAGAGCCCTTCATAGGAATCTCATTTCAGTTGTAATTTTTCTTGCCTCTTTTTCTGTCACTGTCCAGGTCTGCCACTGGTAGCACAGGGGATATCATGAAGATTGTGTCATTTAGGTTTCTTCTGATACATGTTTGTTTCTTAGTATTGGTGTCATTTGCCCAGTGAGTTTATTATTTCTATTACATCTTTCATCAGTCTTGTCTTCTATTTTGCCAGCTGATGATATTATGCTTCCTAACTATTTAAATTTTTGTTTTGCTTCAGAGGGTTTTCTGTAAGCTGGATATTTATTGTCTTTTCTGCTTGCAGTCTTAGTTCTGTTTCTGAAGTAGCAATTAGTGTTTGGTCATCCGCAAGTAGTAGTTCTTTGATGACACTTGTTGGCTTTGGTTCTTCTTCTCCTTAGTTTATTATAGTCCTTGTCAGGTTGGTTTATTTACAGATGTTGCATATCAGTGTAATTTATGGAGAGTAGGGGAGATAGGAAACAGCCCTGCCACACTTCAGATTAATAAACAAACATGTATCTTAAATTTACATAGACCAAATATGATTGACATGAGTGTAAATTTACTACAAGCAAATAACAAATGTTACATTTCAGAAACAATGCTTTAATCTTGAGATTATTATTTGTAATTCTCATCACAGTTCCTTCAAATGGGCCTCCATTTCCTCCTGGTACATTTGATCGTATTCTGGTAGATGCCCCCTGTAGTGCTCTGGGCCAGAGGCCGAGTTATGTAAACAAGATGACACTCAATCAGCTGAAATCATTCCCTGTCATTCAACACAAACTTTTATTAACTGTAAGTTGTTGTCATTGCACATTGATAGGTGTTTAAAATATGTCTGATTTTACAATGCCCTTTGTCTGTCTGTTTATATCTTTTTCTACCTCTCTTTTTTTCTGCTTGTATGTCTCCGTTGTTTTATTTTTTAACTCTATTCTCATTTCCCCCCATTTTTACTTGTTCTCTTTCATAATCTCTCTTTTGCTCTCCCCCTCTCTCATCCACTTATGCCTAATACTGACATGAATGTGAAAACTTGATCTGTACAACTGCCTAGAACACGTAGAGACAAAGCTATGATTGTTCGAAGCAGATGTGTTCTTGGTAACAGTAAATATAACTATTAAACGTGGATGTTTAAATGAATTAATGCAAGTGAAATAAATAAAATAATATTAGAAACTACAGAAACTGACGTATTCAGGAAAAAAGGGGGTGGGGTATTTTGTGTTGTGAGGGGGTGGCTCATTTTGCATTTGAATGCATGATTTTTTTTGCAGTGGCTGCTTTATATATGTTTGTTTAATGTGCCACTGTGGTTGTCTTCATTGTCTTGGTCTTCCCTTGGTTCTGTATCATATACTCCCCGTGTGGGTTCTGGGGCCCTGTTATAGGGAAAACAAGAATAGGCCCACTGCCTACCCAAAAGCGTGTCATAAGAGTCGACTAATTTGGAGCTCCCTTTAAAGTCAGAGTTCATCTGCCTGAGAGGCAAGGAACCAACAGTCTGCATACAAATTAGTCAGATCTGTCATGGACGCACATGCAACACTCAAATTCTGGAACAGGACTGCAGTCCAGAAGTGAACGAACAACTAGAACTTTCCACCAGAATTTACAGCTGTTAATCGCGAAGAAGAAGAAGAATCATATTTGTGTGTTATAGGCTTTATTCCAAGTGTGGGTTCTGGAGACTCTATTAGGTGAGAAAAAAAGAGGTGGTTGGGGAGGATAGATCCACTGCTGCCTAACAAGCATGTCCTAAAAAGTGGCTAATTAGGAGTTTGATGAAATCATATGTGTTGGCTGAAAGTTACAGATATGGTAACCTAGCTGTAAACCACACCAGAACATGCTCAACACCTTTTAAAGGGCATGTGCAGAAGAAGAAAAAGATACAATTTTTGTTTACTGGTAGATTGTATACTTTGATGAATGCATTAGGTATCAATAACAGTTTACTCCAAGATCATTGCATCACAGAAACTGAATTTGGGGGACAGGGGGAGGGGGGATGTGAGAGGGGAAATTCCACTACAGATACAAAATATCAGGTTATAGTCCCTATAATACAAGTAATAACACATTAAAGCTGAAGATGGTCTCAATACATCACAGAATATATGTATATCGCTCACAGACTTGGGAAGTCTTTGTCAGGACCAGAATGTCTTCAGATCAGCTGTAATGGAGACACCATTTTGGGCAGAATATGTCCAGTTGTTATGGTTTATGTTACAAGGTGTATTACAGTCTGTTTGTGAATATCTGTCAGTGGGGAATGCACACAGGCTCCCAATGACATTAAATGCGTAGGAGAACACATGCATTCTTGTAATCCGGTTGCAAATAGCACCATCAGTATGGGAACTCTTTATTGGCAACTGTGGAAGGTGACAGAGCACAAATGATTGCCCATGTGTGATGATGTGAGTTCTTGATTCATTCATTCATTGGTAAATGCTGAGTAAAAAGCAAATAAAATCAACTCTGTTGTACAACTGCATTCAGTAACATTGTTTGGAATTCAAAACAAAGTTTTCCTATTGTGAATTTTAAAAGTTGTGACACAAACAATGTATTGCACATTTTTTTTGTATGTCTTAAAATGAAAACCTCTTCAGTGATTTTCAAAAAAAAAAAAAAAGGTTAACAGAATGTTGCTCCGGCGGCCATTTTTAAACTGTCATTATGTTGTCACCATTCTCATCTCAACCGTGATGTCACGCTTAGCACTTGTGACATCCTTACTTTCTATCACCCTTTTAAGATTTTTGAATCCCCCTCATTTCATATCAGGAACATAGCTGCAGAATTTATATCAACATAATGAAGCAGAAAACAGGAATAAGTGTTTGTTAAAATTGGCAAATACTGTGACAATTAGGATGGGCAGTCCCACGCTATGTAAACAAAGGATCACATAGTTAAGTCTTAGAACACTGTGAGGAGATGAACAGTATAACAAGAGATAATGTGATTTTGTTCCATAAAGAGATTTAGGCATTTGCCATTTTATTTCAACTCATCTGTTAACTCAGGCAGTAAAGCTGTTGAAACCTGGGGGAGTCCTTGTCTACAGCACATGTACCATAACTCGCGAAGAAAATGAGGATCAGGTGGCAAGACTGTTAGCCAGGTGCTCATGTATGGACCTTGTTGATATTGTAAGTAACTGGAACAGATTGGAAAAATATAAGTATGTGTGACATTTAAAGGACTAATTACAGTAGACAAACAAGGGGCATTGCAACAAGGAGCATTGCAACAAGGGGCATTGCAACAAGGCGCATTGCAGTAGTTAGTTTTCATCAGCAGAGCAACCTTGAGAAAGAAAACATAAAACAAACAAAATGAACTTACTCTGAAATGACTACACAATACAGTATTTATCTATTATCGGGAAGGAGGGGGGAGGTTTGGCAGACAGAGTTATATAATGTTCATGATAATTATATCATTTATTCTTGTTTTGTTTGTTTACATGATATTTTAGTACTATGGTGTAATTTTAGAGTCAGTTCATTGTTTTGGGGTGTCTTTTGTTTATCGTCCCTCTTCTTCAGATAAAGGCTAATCACTGTTGTGTGTCATTTGTTGATTTGTCTGTTGTAATTAGTCCTGTAATCCTGACTTATACTTTATACTTTTGCAATCATTGTTACTTTCATAGCTTAAACCACAACCACCTCCTTTCGATGTAAGTAACAGGTATGATAGTAACATGGTGTCACTGTTGCACGTAAGCCCATGTAAGATTATGAGGTCTGTCTTAGCATCCGTGTAAACTAGATTTGTTTTATGGTCTGGACTGTTGTTTTTATAAAATAAGGATGTTATAAAAGTTCAAGGTTTCAAAGTCGAGGGTATACTTCATTGCATCAGGTTTTATCCCATATGGCTCAGTCTCTGTCCGTAGAACAGCTAGCAGCTTGCTCAAAGTGTCACACAAATCATGAACACTGTGGCACCAGCAGTGATCCTCATCTGTAAAAATTGCACTTATAAACTGAACTGTACAGCCTGCAGTGAACACACAACCTTGAAAGCATGAAGCAAATGTCATGGTCACTACACCATGGATACATCCACCAGGATCCCTGAGTAGCAGATCAGATGTCAGACTGTCTCAGAGGGGGGGGGGGGGGGGGGGGGGGGGGGGGGGGGGGGGGGGGGGGGGGGGGGGGGGGGGGGGGGGGGGGGGGGGGGGGGGGGGGGGGGCAAAATATCCAGTGGGCTCATGTGCATGTTGCCCCTATTAAAAGTCCTTCTGCAGTGGAGATTCCAAAGACAAGCTTAATTAGCTGTCACACTGTTTGCTTCTAAACTTAGAAAACCTATCAGAGTGAACTGTGGCTGACTCTTACCTGCTAGCCTGAAAGTCTTTGGTTGAATCAGCAGTGAGGCAATATTTTTGTAAACTAACTAGGTTCTCAAGTTGACTCAATCTTCTTCTTGTTCACCGGCTGTGAATTCCGGCGGTAAGTCACGGTTGTTCGTCCAAAATAGACTTTTGGCTTTTACCTTGACCTGAGTTTTGCGTGTACATCCGTTTTACTGGCTTATTTGTTTGCAGTACTCGTTCCCCGCCTCTCCGGCAGATGTACTCCGACTTCGGAGGAAGACGTCAAGCCTATTCCTAGGTTGACTGTAGCCATTGTTTTGTGTGGGTCGAGATGTTGCCTCATTTGTGTGGTGTCCTCTTTGACTTTTAACAGGTGTGGCCCCCGGCATGTCGTCCTTAAGGCAGCTCTATGTAGAGTTTTCAGCCCTCAAGGAAAGGCAGGGGCAGATCATAGGCATTCCCCGCCATCCAAGGAGGCTTCCATAAATGCAGAGCCGACACATGATGCTCTGGTTCTGGGCTCACCCAAGGAATCGTCACGTCCTGCCCATGACTGCTTAACCTCACAACCGTGTATTGAGCTTCCCGCGCTACAAGGCTGCGCTCTCCGGATATCAGCGGGGAGCAGCCCGCAGGTCTAGGACGTTTGTGGCCACACAAATAGGTACATTCTTTTTCATCTTACGTTAGACACCTTCAACGTTTTTTCAGCTGTGCCCTTAGCACGACAAAATTGGGAAGCAAAATGCGTCAGGCGTGGCTTCACCTGTTTGGTCCCAACACTCGGGCGAGTTGGACCAGTGGATACGGACATTCGGACTTTTCCCTAATCGGTACGAATTATGATCGTCGGACTCTGAGCTTGCATGTGTACCGTGGGGTATAACTTTGTTGGACATTATTTCCAAACCAGCATATGAAAAGTTGCTGCCGTGGTGTACCTCAGCGCGGTGACGACGACACTGAGGATTGACAGAGGATGTACGTAGGTAGGATCTTGCTGCGAGAAGTCGCCCACAAGAGATGTTACTCGTCTTGGCTGCGGGTAAATCTCTCGGTCAGGGTTGAGTCTCAGCAGCACAGTTTTAAATTCCCTCCCGAATTTTAACCAAGAGTTGTCATTTGATGGTACATTTAGCAAGCAATTTTGAGTTTTGTTAGACTTTTCACCCATGCGTTTGGGGGCGGGCTGGTGAGAGCCAGAAAGGACACTACACCTCTGGGGGCCGCCAGCTCCGAGATCCCCTGCCAACTCTGTTAATGCTCATTTGAGACATTATCCGTGGCGCACGACGGGGACGTGCAACAGGAGTCTTGCATGAGGTTCCGTAAAACCAGAACAGTGAAGGACTGGCGCCCGAGTCGGGTACGGAGTATCTCCTTATACACCTCACATCAGACTTAACTTTGCCTCATGCCTGTGACCGAAATCACCGCGCCACAAGTTGACTCAATCAAAAATGTATACAAGGAAGTTTAGTTGGAAGCAAAAGCAGCCTCTGTGTGTGGGTATTGTGGCCTCATTCTGGAGAGGGGGAGGAGGAGATTAGACCAACTGCCTCCTTAACTGGTAAGTCATACAAGGTGACTGATTAGAGGAGTTTCTTTTGAAGTCAGAGTGCATCTGCCTGAGAGTGGGGAACCAACAGTCTGCATACAAATGAGTCATATCTGTAAAACAGATAACACTGACAAAAATCTCTAACTTTTAAAATTTCTTTTCAAATTATGTCTGCTTCTATTTCATACTTATTTTTTCATCAAGGCATTGTTTTAACCACTCATTAAATTTACTAGCAGGCTGAGAGAAAAATCCAGAATTAATCATTTTACAGGGTGATTTTTCTCTGTTGCTCTTTGTTGTACAAAATTAAAGCTATATTATGTAAGTAAAGATTACTGAGTCATGAATTCAAGATATTGAAGTAAAGAATACTGAATCATGAATTCAAGGTATATAGATAAAGGTTACGTATTGAGGAATTCAAGATATTGAAGTAAAATTAGTGATGTATGAATTCAAGGTGTATAATTAAAGGTTACTAATTCATGAATCTCAGATATTTAAATAAAGATTACCAGTGTGTGAATTCAAGATAATCTGTTCATGATCTTTTATTATCAGCCTATGAAACTTGGTGGAGTTGGACTATCAGGCTGTGATCTAACAGAAGAACAAAGATTAAAGGTCCAGAGGTTTGACCCCACAAGTACAGAGTCAGCAGAGGTCTACAACATAGATACCATAGGTTTCTTTATTGCCAAGTTTGTAAAAAAGGAAAAAGAGTTACTACAGTCAAGCTGATATCAAGGTGTAATTAGATATTTTTTTAATAAGTGCCCATCTTTCCCTTCCTGTCGTTGAGCTTTCTAGTTTTGTTGTTGTTAGTTATTTCTTGTAAACAAGGAACTCCTTATGTGTGATCCAGGACCCAATTTGTGTGTGTATGTGTGTGAGAGGGGGGGGGGGGGGAGAGTATAATAGGCACACTGCTTCTTTACAAGGATGTAGATTAACTAAGGATTTGCTGAAATCTAAATGTTGGGCCAACAGGTGCAGATATCACAGCCTAGCTGTAAACCACAATACAAAGTACCAGCCGGCTTTTTTTTAAGGACGAGCACAAAAGATGAAGTAAGGATGGGACTTGGCAGTGATGCTTACCATTTACCGTAGAACAGTGATGGTTGGGTGGACAGGACACAAGTCTAGAGACATACAGTGATGGTTGGGTGGGCAGGACACAAGTCTAGAGACATACAGTGATGGTTGGGTGGACAGGACACAAGTCTAGAGACATACAGTGATGGTTGGGTGGGCAGGACACAAGTCTAGAGACATACAGTGATGGTTGGGTGGGCAGGACACAAGTCTAGAGACATACAGTGATGGTTGGGTGGGCAGGACACAAGTCTAGAGACATACAGTGATGGTTGGGTGGGCAGGACCCAAGTCTAAAGACATGTAAGTAAAGATTACTGAGTCATGAATTCAAGATATTGAAGTAAAGATTACTGAGTCATGAATTTAAGATATTGAAGAAAAGAATACCGAATCATGAATTCAAGGTATATAGATAAAGGTTACGTATTGAGGAATTCAAGATATTGAAGTAAAATTAGTGATGTATGAATTCAAGGTGTATAATTAAAGGTTACTAATTCATGAATCTCAGATATTTAAATAAAGATTACCAGTGTGTGAATTCAAGATAATCTGTTCATGATCTTTTATTATCAGCCTATGAAACTTGGTGGAGTTGGACTATCAGGATGTGATCTAACAGAAGAACAAAGATTAAAGGTCCAGAGGTTTGACCCCACAAGTACAGAGTCAGCAGATGTCTACAACATAGATACCATAGGTTTCTTTATTGCCAAGTTTGTAAAAAAGGAAAAAGAGTTATTACAGTCAAGCTGATATCAAGGTGTAATTAGATATTTTTTTATTAAGTGCCCATCTTTCCCTTCCTGTCGTTGAGCTTTCTAGTTTTGTTGTTGTTAGTTATTTCTTGTAAACAAGGAACTCCTTATGTGTGATCCAGGACCCAATTTGTGTGTGTATGTGTGTGAGAGGGGGGGGGGGGGGGGAGTATAATAGGCACACTGCTTCTTTACAAGGATGTAGATTAACTAAGGATTTGCTGAAATCTAAATGTTGGGCCAACAGGTGCAGATATCACAGCCTAGCTGTAAACCACAATACAAAGTACCAGCCGGCTTTTTTTTAAGGACGAGCACAAAAGATGAAGTAAGGATGGGACTTGGCAGTGATGCTTACCATTTACCGTAGAACAGTGATGGTTGGGTGGACAGGACACAAGTCTAGAGACATACAGTGATGATTGGGTGGGCAGGACACAAGTCTAGAGACATACAGTGATGGTTGAGTGGGCAGGACACAAGTCTAGAGACATACAGTGATGGTTGGGTGGGCAGGACACAAGTCTAGAGACATACAGTGATGGTTGGCTGGGCAGGACACAAGTCTAGAGACATACAGTGATGGTTGGGTGGGCAGGACACAAGTCTAGAGACATACAGTGATGGTTAGGTGGGCAGGACACAAGTCTAGAGACATACAGTGATGGTTGGGAATTGCAGATGATTTTGACTGGCTGGTTCATAGAAAATTATCACTAGGTTGTAGAAAAATTCATTAGAAGTCTGATCTCCTCCATTAGATCACACTGGGATGTAGCTCTTTGTAACTGGCAATTCTCATTTAAGAAACATAGGAAGTCGCTACACATTATCATTCATTCTGTTGCTTATCTCTTCAACAGGAAGTGACGGCACATTATTTGCAAAACTTTATTACTAACATCATACAGTTATTTCATTAGAGTGTCAGTGACTCTCAGATTACATTGGGATCAAGGGTTCATGGATTTTTAAATACGAATTCTGGGACCATAATTATAACATCTTCAGAATGACCCAAAACTTTCTTGAAATGTGAGATAAGGAGTTTTATATTTTTTAAATGTTGAATCAAGAACTGACATCACAGCACTCCGAACACTCCCATAAGTGCTCAGTCTCTATCTTCAGCAGCAAGCGAAGAGTTCTAACTCCGATGGTACCAGTAACCGTCTGATTGTATATCCATCTCTCATCCTTCCCCTGAGTGTCAAGCGCCGACCAAATCCCCTGGTTTAAAAAAAAAATAAGAATTCGGGGGGGGGGGGGGGGGGGGTGAATACTCTGGTGTAAAATGAAAGTAGAGCTATGAAGGCATTTTTAAAGACCAATTGGCTCCAGAAGGCAGCCGCAGCCAGTCTAGAAACATAACACTAAAGAGGAGGTGCAGTAATGTAGTCTCCAACATGCCTGTACAGTTTTCAAATCCCCATCATGGCAGTATTACATTTTTTTATTTTGAACTGGTCCACCAAGTCACCTAGTTCTACCAAGAAATATTCTTTAGAGTAATGGCACTCCTTATGGCATTTACCACATATATTATTTTTTCCTATTCTTTGGATATTTTCTCCAGGGTTAGAGGACTGTTGGCAATGAAAATGCAGTCTGATTACTTGGCTCTGCACCACTGGGTGGTGAATTTATGCATGACAGCCTAGATGTGGTCACAGCCCTTTGGCTGCAAGTGATCAGTGTGGAGTCACAAAAAAGATCATTATGGTCTGCAGAAAATGTTATAGCTTGGAGTGACCAGGGAATCTGGTCAACACTCTACACTCAGAGGAATAGCAAGGCGGACATATAATCAGGCTTCGCTGGCTGATGAAGGTGAGGATGGGGTGCTTATGGGAATGTCATGAGTGCTCTGATGTCAGTTCTTAGTTTAACATTGGACTACATTACCTATCAAGTTCGGATTGATCTGAATAATTATAAGGGTAGCCAAATACTCATTCGGCAGGCGTGGTGTTGACCACATCACCCACAGTACACTTCAAGACATGAAAATGCGTAGTTTATTTTTCTTTTTAAACTCAAAAGTTGAAATAAAGGAAGCAACCATTTAAATAGTTTGTCATAAATGTGTTTACTTGTGAGTGAATGTGTTTACTTGTCTGTAGGGCTGTACCGAATATTCGCCTCGTATTCGCCGAAAAGTGGACCTGTTGACTATTCGGTATTCGGCCGAATAGTTGTGGTCAGGCCGAATATGAATAGTAGTTATCTTACACTCGTTTCTGCATACACTGCCTTAATGGTGGCAACATGGAACGATTGGTTTTGTTGAAAGCTAATGCAGCTGTTATGCATTAACCAAGCTGTCAGCGACAATTTCCAAGTTTAGTTACTTGTTATAATATTTAGGAATCTTTCATTCCTAGTTATTAGTTACCCCAGACTGACTGAAGGATGCAAAACATAAAATGTTTTTAAATGTTTACTATTCTGTACGAATACTAACTAGACATGGAAAGAATATAAACTCCGACCACATCCAAGTCGACAATATGAAAATCAAACGAAAGGAAACATATAAGTACTTGGGTGCAAACTTCAACTGCTCCAACATACTGAGAGAAGAAATACAATCTAGAAATAAAGTATGCTATGCCCTTCAACATCTGCTAAAGTCAAAGTGCTGTCTCGCAACACCAAGATCAAAATATATAAAACGTTGATAAGACCATTCGTTTTATATGACTCTGAAACTTGAAGCAGAAATAAAAGAGATGAGGCCTTATTACAGGTTTTCGAAAACAGTCCTACGACAAATCTTTGGACCCATCAAAGATGCTAACAGCGAGGAATGGAGAGTGAGAAGCAACAACGTAACACCTAATCTGTTTAAATCACCATTGATCACTGGCATCATGAGAGCTAACAGACTAAAATGGTTGGGGCATATTGAAAGAATGTCAGATGACAGAGAAGTAAAACTGGATACACCTGAGAGAGGAATGGGCGAAGACCACGATACAGACAAAAAAAGAAGTTCGAGAGATAATGTCCAGTCAGACCTGCAAACAACTGGTGTCACAAATTGTGAAGAGAAGGCCAGCCAGAGAGATGAATGGAGACGAATGATATCTGCAGCAGTAAACCTCAAGGGCTCAGAATGCTAAAGAAGAAGATGACTATTCTGTGCTACTTTATGTGAAGTGAAAGTTCAGCGTACATTTGACATTTTAAATGTTTTTTTTAAAGATATATTTTATACACTATACACTATTCATATTCGTATTCAGCCGAATAGTGAAAATCACTATTCGGTACAGCCCTACTTGTGAGTGAATGTGTTTACTTGTGAGTAAATTTGTTTACTTGTGAATGAATGTGTTTACTCGTGAGCGAATGTGTTTACTCCTGAGTGAATGTGTTTACTTGTGAGTGAATGTGTTTACTTGGGAGTGAATGTGTTTACTTGGGTGTGAATGTGTTTACTCGTGAGTGAATGTGTTTACTCGTGAGTGAATGTGTTTACTCGTGAGTGAATGTGTTTACTTGTAAGTGAATGTGTTTACTTCTGTGAGACTGTGTTTACTTGTGAGTAAATGTGTTTACTTGTGAGTGAATGTGTTCGTGCACTACTAGCAGAAATATATAATTATGATTCCTTTGGCATTGTAACTCACACAAAGCCATTTTTTTTCATATTTCAGTTTCTTTCGGCTTTTTTCTCCTTCCTGGTACATTTGCTTTCTTCTTCTTCTTGATGCTCACCAGCATGTACATCTAATATACAGATCTGGCTTATATGTATGTTGTTTCCTTGCCTCTTAGATGTACTCTGGATTTAGTGACTAATTCCTATTTAGTCACCATTTATGACCTTCTAGTATCTGTGACTAAGGCACTGTAAACGGGGTTAGTAATTCCGTGGTGCCGGGTTAAGTAAAAAAATTGTTGGTGATTTGGTAGCAGACCACCTTCAGTTGGTTTCAAAAGTGGTATTGAGAGCCAGTCTTTTAGTAAACAGTGGCAAACTACTGAACGTACAATTACCTCATGAAATCACAAACACCAAAATAAAATGCCTTGGGTGGTTTCATTAGTGTCCTGCAAAGGACTCAGGATAAAATAAACTACAAACAGATTGCCAATTTAGTGAGAGATAGTTGTGGATACATGGAGCATGTAAGGACAATTGATAAACAAGCTAAACAATTGATTGAGGTCTCTAATATGTGGTTTTACAGAAACATCCTTAGAATTCCTTGGACGGCCCAAAAGAGCAACTCAGATTTTTGTTGTCTAAGAAGTGAGGAAACTGGAACATGTTGTGACCACTGGAAAGATATGTGAAAAGAGAGACAGGTGAAGACAAGGAGAGACGATTCTTGACAGCCTTTTGTCGTGGCACGGAGGGGTGTCAAAAAAAAATTAAAAAAAAAAAAAAAAAAACACACACACACACACACACTCACTCACTCACACATACACACACACACACTCACTCACACACTCACTCACTCACTCACTCACTCACTCACTCACTCAAAGATATGATATTGTAGAGAGGCATGATTACCCATGTCATTAGGCAAGGCGTTTGAAGATGAGAATTTCCCCAGTCAGTGTATTATGCTGCTAACTTGTTTACGTGCACATACTCCAGTATCTGCTAAGGGAGACTAAACACCTTTATATTTATGGAAAGTGCAATGACATCACTTCTAGTAATGATTAACATAGCTCATGTATTGATTTTATGCTTGAAAACAAAATATGTTTATGTCAAATGTGCACTGCCAAAAAAAAAAAAATATAATGTCCAATTAACAGTGTGAGTATAAATGATAAACATCCAAAGAAATAATATGGTATGTTAATAATAGATTTATTGTACATCTGCAAATCGACAGATGTATGTATGTATTGAACACAGTTGTAAAGACTATATAAAACACTGTAACAGTTTGTGCTACAACATTTATGTGCTTTGATCAACATTTGTGTTTTCATTGTTTTATTGTCAAATCTTAGATCAGGTTCAATAGTTTGGACAAAAATACCTGTAAATCAGGCACAGTGTAATTAACATACTTTACATTTCTAGGAAATTCCTAACTTCTTCTTCAGACAGTAAAAATGAAACAGTCTGCATATAATTGCTAAAACAAACACAAATCTGCAGTTGGTTAATAATCAAATTGTTCTTGTTTGTGCATAAATATTTTGCATTTATTTTTTGCTGTCTAACTATTTTAGTAGCAAGCAACATACAATGCGTTATTGGCTATTCTCAATCTGCATTATACATTAGTCTTGTGATACATCTTCTTACTTCTTACAGGTCAAACTTAAGAAATCTGGTGACCGTCTTTGCTGTTTATGCATTCTTACAAGATAAAAGTACAGTCATTTGTTTTCTTGTCATTATTTAAATATAGTAAAGGAAGATTTTTTTTTATGAAGCCTTCTAGGACTGAAATGTTTAATTTGAACAGTCCCTACCTCCTAGCCCAAACAAACAAAATTCCACCTCTTGCTTCCCGCTACACCCCCCCCCCCCCCAACCCCAATTCTTTCAGTTAGGTGAAACAAATTTGTCTTTAGTTTTAGAAGAGTTAAATGAGTATTGTTTTATGATTTCAAAAACACTATCCACGTGGTAGTTATTGCATAGAGACTTATAATTTTCTAACAGCCATTTGTTCTGCCACTAAATCAATCTTTCACTGTGAAAAGATCATCTACCACTTCTTTCCTGCGATGAAGAAATCAGTTTCTTCCGTCACCACCTTCAACAATCACAGTCTCATAAATCATTGGTTCATACTGTTCATCATGAGCTGCCTGACCTCTCCTTTCCTCTTGCTGATCATGCTCAACCTCAAACACTGCGGGCACCGGGGCACAAGCTGGGGGCAGGAAGCGATGCAGGGCACTGACCATGGTGTCAACAACCTCCAGAGGGCAGGAGCGAGCAAGTGGTCGCTCAAGACAGTTAACAATGTTTTGAGCAAAACTGAAATAGTTTATAAGTATACAATATAGTTTTGCACTTGACAGAGATACAGTAAAACCTCGTTAACAATAACTTATCTAAGATGAACACTTGGTTAACATGAACACAATTTTAATCCCACTAGGGATGGTTAACATGAACACAATTTTAATCCCACTAGGGATGGATAATTTCTTGCATAAAGTTTTTTTGGTTAACATGAGATTATATTATCATGAATAATGAACTTTTTTCCCTTCAGTTTGTCACGTCATTAGATTTCATTTAACTGGAACTTCCAAAGCTTGTCATAATTTATTTTTCTGTTCTTCCTCTGCTAGGTTTGTAAGAAATGAGGTTAACTATTTTTGAATTCTCTGTTATTTTATTGCTTAAACTTGGAGTTATTGAATTAACATTATTACATGATGCAAATGCTAAACAGTTACGATCATCGTGTGGTTCGTGTGGCCTCTCTCTCTCTCTTTTTTTTTCTGCAGATTAGTTTATCCTATGAGAGCATTGCACAAAATGCAACGCTCTATAGCTTAAGCAATGCCTTACCTGCTGAAAGAAGGAATCTTGAACTAAATCCACGACCTTTCCATTGTGATAGAAATAGCTTAATCACTTCATGTCAGGTATTCCACTTGAAACCTGGTACTTTATCCACCATACTTGTTTATCATATTGGCATTTAGAAGGAGGATTCCTCCTCTCTTTCTGTACCGGGCAGTTTTTACTTATCTGTTTTCTATCCCAACTTTCTATTTATTTGTATCGACATCCTAGCACTTTGGTACAACCATTCGTCCTCCATCCTTCAATGCAGCATTCTCAGTGTTTTCATGTTCACCGTACCTAGTGGGAGTTGGTTGGCATATCTTCTTTCTTAGGCCCACAGCCAGTTTCTGCATGGTTGTCCTCGTTCAATACCTATTTCCAACAGGCAGTTCATCATTCCTGACTCCCTTGTCTCACCATCTCTGGAACACAGTGCAATCAGGATAACTTCTCTGTCTCTATTTCTTTCTCCACTAACCCCTGCGGACATGGCCATTCTGTCTGCTGTTTTATTTCCTTTCATCCTAGCATATCCCGGGGTGTACAACCAAGATTGTTCTTGAGGTGGCACTTCTGGATTCTGTCAACTCATTTTAACTGAAGTTTGCCAGTTTGGATCTTCCTAAGCATTTTCATTGTGTCTGTCACTATCAGCGCACGAGTTGCTTTCTGTTCTGTGAGCCATGTAAGTGCCACAGTAACAGCTACTAGAAGTAGTTAAACTGAATGCCTGACTTTCTTCTTCTATTGCCTTTGCATTTAGCTGCACTATGTATGTCCACCCAAGCTGCACTTCACAAATCACTGAGCCTTCTGTCCAAACGAACTAATAACATGTTATCAGCTATTGTGCATATGTAACAGTCAACAGACAAAGTGTTATTATATATTTTACATTTGGTCTGAGTATATAAATAAAATCTGGCTAGATATTTAACACATAGGCTCATCTTTGCTGCCCCTTTAACAGTAACACACACACGGATTTTTAATTGTTGTTATAGTCCTTTGTAGGCAATCAAAATTAAATCTTCTAGGAATAAAAGAGTTAAACTATGAGTTTGTTCTATCCTAAGAAGTTTTCTTGAAAGTCTTCAATATTTTATCAGAGATAGTAAAAAGGAGACACCAAGGGCCGGAAGTGCTTAAACTAACAAACATTCTGATAACATGAGTTTGTTTAACAAATATTTGTGATGAGATAAAACACAGAGACTTTACTGCAATTTGAGAAACCAGGAAATCTATGGTGAGTTTGATATCCAAGAAGTAAAAAAGCCTTAATGCAGTAATACTGGGAGCTATATTATAGAGACATACTTGCATGTGATGTCATGTAAGGTCCTGAAATGTGCAATGCCAGCATCAGTGACAGCCTTCTTGAACAGCTGGGTGCGGATCAGGATACAACTAGAAATCCTGGGTCCAAACTTTGACACACAGTCGAAATGGTTTTTGAAAACTAGAAATAACATGGATTTTATCTTTATAAGATGTGAAACAATGAAATATTATTATAACTAGAGTCAAGTCGAAAACATATTGGAAATTAGGAAAAAGGTGTCATGTTGCATCGTATACATCATAAAGTTGTCAGTTGTTAACTGACAAGTTTATGATAAGTGAATGTGCTTTTCCACATTTTCATTCTCTTCTCTTTCTTCTTCATGATGTTTGATGTTGGCATTGCTGGATTTAGGCCTAAGTTAACTAAGCTACAGCAGGGGCCCCACAAAATTCATATTTTGTGTTCCCAAATGCTATTATTTTTTAATAGAGCCTTTAAGAGGATTACAGAATATAATTTATCTGATTCTGCTGACACGTTCTTAATTATTTCTTTTACTAAAATTTAAATCACAATATAATTCAGTCATCCATATTTTTTAAAGTTGTACAGTCGAGACCACTTAAGTCGAACTCGGATAAGTCGAGTTTCGGTTAAGTCGATATGACCAGCTAAATCCTGGCAATTTTCTCTGTTGTGTGTGGTGTCTGAATAAATAGAAATCCTGATAAGTGGAAGCATTTTCTTAGGTTCCTGCCTTGTGACTTGTGTATCTGTTACATATCTTTTTCCTTGCCACAGTGCCCAACTGTCCAACAGTACTTTGTTGGTCTCCCTCCGCCTCACTTCTTCTCCAGCTTGTCCTTTGTCACAGAGAACTAAAGTTTTCCCTTCAGGAGAGCTGATGTTTGGAGGATTTGGGGGACATGGTGTCCATATCGCTGCTAGAAATGAGAGATTTAGGAGTAAAGATTGGCACAACTAGGCATGAGAGACACACCAGACATATGATCGGTCTTTTTTTTTTTTTTCAACAATGTTAGCTTTTGGATGCTAGTAAAGTTAGTTTTTTTGGGAGGGGGGGGGGGGGGGGGGGTATGTGAGCACTAATGGACATTGTTCAGGGCACCACGAGGATAATACAGCTCATAAATTCTAGCCATATGTTACAGCTGGAGTCAAACCATATACAGACCTGTGAAAGGCAAGGGGAAACCACTGTTATACAGTACATTTATCCTAGTGAATCATTCTGCACTCAAAAATGCATTTGAATGATGCAGGTATAATTGTTTGAAATTGTGCACAATGTAAAGCAACAAAATACAGTTTACAACAACAAATGCAGTGAAGAATAAGAATTTTGAGAACATATACTGAGAATTGTTTGTGAGAATTTGTGAATTTGTAGATAAGAAAAGAAGATCATTTCTCCCCACCATATGGCATACTGGCTATATTGTCATTTCAATGGCTACAACTATGGACTGTTATTAGACATGGGTTTAAATCCTTTGCAATTCATAGAATTGTTCTGTATGGGGCAAAATACTTCCATAGTTCATGGTAAATGCCCTTGCCATGTGGCCTAAATCTAAAAGGCTAAAAGACCGCCCTCTAATAAGGACAGTTTCTTCTTTTGCTTCTTCTTCTTCTTCTTAGCATCACCAGCTGTAGACTGCAGTGGAAATCTTGGTTATTCGTCCATTTCTGGACTGCGGATTTGTTCCAGGACTTGAGTGTTGTGTTTTACAGATCTGGCTTATTTTTGTGTGCAGACTTTCTTCCTTGCCTCTCCTGCATATGCACTCCAACCTCAAAGGAAACAACTATCCTATCCTATATGACCAGGCCCTCTGTATGGAACATGTTTCTAGCACTGTATACAAAAAATTAATCGTGGTGTAAAGTCCCCACAGAAACAATCAACAGTGCTACCTGACTTGCTCAAGAACATTACACAACCTGTTTGTTGTCACTAATTTAATAGTGGCTGAGAAAAGAAAACACAGTGTAATTTAACATCATAACTTCAAATCCTACTTAAACATACATTTGTTTCAGTGACAGAAACAAGCATATACAATGTAGTTTGCAGAGTTTTTCTTTAATCATCTCGCATTTATTTTAAAAAAATATTTCAGAATCATTCATGTTTATAAATTATATTAATCCTATTTTCCAATATCTGTGAAGTGGAAATAGTTAACTTATTATTCTTGTTTGCTTAATTTACTACTACTGTCTGGTGTTTATTGTTGAAGCAGGTGTTCTCTGTTCATTGTCATCATCATTATCAACTTCCACTTATGCTGTTAAGTATTGTGGGGAGGAGTATCAGTTTGTGATCCATTGCTTGATGGGCTACTGTCATACTGTGTCGATGCAGAAGCTCTTTAATGTTATTAGTTTATCCTTCTGGAGCAGCCTCTTGCTTTAACTTCAGATCTGTTATGGTGTAGTGCCTGCATTGGTAGTTGTTCTGGCTGCATTCTTACTAAATGACTAAACCATCTGATCTTCTGTTTCTCAGTGAATTTGCATGGTGTTGTTCCTACAGTCTGTCTGATAATATCATTTCTAACTATGTCTGGGATGGTCAAGTTGGCTGCTTTTCTTAGGCATCCTATTTCACAGGTGTCAGTTTTTACATGTCGGCGTCTGTGGCATAAGCGTTGCGACGCGCTTTCTAATGCCAGGTTTGATCCCAGCTGCAGACGATTTGTCTTGCTTTGGTTTTGACAGAGGTACTGAGACTTGAGCGTTCAGAAAGTAATGGCAAACTACTGAATGTAGAATTTGCCTAGAAAAACCACACCAGCCAATAAATGCTGTGTTAGGTTTTGCAATGTCCTGTAAAGAATATGCAAATATTTTTTTTTAATTTTACATAGGTTAGCCTTTGATAATGTCCAAGTCTGGCACTGGTAGCACAGTGCTGGTATGAATATGCTGTTTATAATCTGTTTCTTGGCACTCATGTTTGGATATCTTAAAAATGGTGTCAGTTGTAATGCAAAAAAAATGTTGCTATGTTTAAATTTGGTCTGTACTGGGCAGACAACCTCTGACAAGTGTCTTCGTCTTTGTCACACATTGTCTACCTTTCTCCCTTTTCATCCTGACTTTTTTCTTCTCTCTTTGCTATCTCTCATCTTCCTTACTCTTAAGTGTCCCTCGCTTACCCTCACTCTCACTCTCTCCCTCATTTTCTCTTCTTCACTCACTCTCTTTCTCTTTCTCTCTCTCTCCATCTCTCTCTCTCTCAACAACCTCTATTTCCTTTTCAGCATTGTAATCTAGATTGTATGTCTTCTCTTAATATTTTAACAGTTAGTCACACCCAAGTACTTGTATATTTCCTTGTATCTGATTTTCCTATTATCTATTTTCACGTGGCCTGAGTTTTTGTATCACTTCTTTTTTTTTTTGTTATTACCGTGTATTCTGTCTTATCTCAGTTGATAACTATAGTTCCATTTCTTAAGCTGCTTCCTTTAGGTGGCTACAACTATGGACTGTTATTAGACATGGGTTTAAATCCTTTGCAATTCATAGAATTGTTCTGTATGGGGCAAAATACTTCCATAGTTCATGGTAAATGCCCTTGCCATGTGGCCTAAATCTAAAAGGCTAAAAGACCGCCCTCTAATAAGGACAGTTTCTTCTTTTGCTTCTTCTTCTTCTTCTTAGCATCACCAGCTGTAGACTGCAGTGGAAATCTTGGTTATTCGTCCATTTCTGGACTGCGGATTTGTTCCAGGACTTGAGTGTTGTGTTTTACAGATCTGGCTTATTTTTGTGTGCAGACTTTCTTCCTTGCCTCTCCTGCATATGCAGTTCATTTTCTCCTAGTATGTCATCTGCATAACCATGTATTCTTGTTGTTTCTCCTATAGCCCAATTATTTTTTCTTTCTTTCTGAAGATTTTATCCAGTTGCAAGTTAAAAAGATGCTTGGTCAGGGCATTACCTTGCTTTAATCTGAAAAGGGTAATTTGTAAGACAATTACCCTTTCTATAAGGGTTAAACAGGACATTACATGTTAAATTATTATACATCATTAATTATCATAATTATAACCCAATAAAGCAACAAGAAACAGAAACACATGACTGTAAGCACAACACACACACAACACAATATTAGAATGCTGTATGCCTTTAAACAACATCAAATGATTGTGGTATATGAAAGTCATGATGACTTTCCTTTACCTAACTTACGGTTAAGATCTTCACACAGGAGTGTCTGCCCTTGCTTCCATTCGTCAATACTGAACAGCATGTCTAATTCTTGTTTGACTACAGCATTGTTGGAGCATCGGTCATATATGTCTCGCAGGCAGTCAATTGTTTTTTGGAGAATCCCTCGGCTGTAGTATAATGTAAATGTAGTAGTAATTTCACATAGAATATATCTTGTTCAATCCTCAGGGTTATAATTATGATATGAAGTATTCATTGAGTTCTCAGAGTATATTTTTGTTATTCTTTGTCATAAAATAATTTATTTTTTACATTTATGCAATTTGTAGCATTATTTGAAGCATTGCCATGTTATGTGCGTGCATGTAGGTTATCATTACATGAGATTTGAAATGCTGAAATTACAAAATCTAAACCTGGATGGCAGACCAGTAGGACAAATATCAGATACCCTGTTTAACCTCCAAAGACAATATAAAAGGGCACCTGTAATGGTTATCCCAGTGTGGGTTTCAGAGCCCAGTGGTGTGGAAACCTAGAATAGACCTCCTGCTTGCCCAAAAGCATGTTGTAAGAGTTGACTTATTGGGAGGTTCCTTAGAAGATGGAGTACATCTGCCTGAGAGGTAAGAAACCAACAGTCTGCATGAAAATGAGTTAGACCTGTGAAACAGATGTACAGGCGACACTCAGGTTCTGGAACAGGACCAGAGTCCAGAAGTGGATTAACAACCAGAAATTTCTGCCGGAGTTTACAGCTGGTGAACAAGAAGAAGAAGAAGTTTAAACCGTCAGCTATAACCTGCATTCCAGAACAGTTAGGTAATTTTTTTATTATAATGTTCACTCTTTTGGATTGTGATTACCGCCTATACTGTATAATGGGTATTCAGATAATCTTAATAACATTGGGTCTTCAGATAGATTATGTTAATTATGCAAATGTGTGAACTAATACATGAGGAATGTTTTAATGATTTAAAAAAAATCATAATTGTGTATGCTGTTGTTCACAGTGGAGGTCGGCTGAATATTGTGAATTTGTTCTTTTTGAACTGTCTGTATTGTGGTTCACAATGTGATCACCAGGTACAAGTTCAGCGGTACTATTTTTTTTACAGTGAAAAGAGATGAGGGATGTCCCATATTTCATCTGCTTTTCTTATTTCTGAGAGTAGTCTTGGTTTCCTGGGAGTGTCTGTGTAATTTCAGTGCAACCTCCTTCACTAATCAGCAAGACAGTACTCTGACTCACTTGAGACCTCAAGAAGGCAAAGCAGTTCAGACCCTCTTACATGAAGCTGCTGGAGAGAGTGACACTGTGGATTTGATAATCCACCATTTCTGGATGTTTTTTCTCTGCGATATTCGCTTCATTGGTGTGTAATTTTTTTGGGGTCTGAAGATAGTAAAGTCTTAATTGCCCGCTCAGATAAGCAAATTTTTTTTTTAATTGTAAAGCTCCACCCTGGCTGTTGTCGGGGCCCTAATGGTTGAACGGGCTATATTGGCCTTGTACCCGGGAAATTCTCATCTGAATGGTGGCACTTTGTGTCACCGGTTATTTTTAGCACGTTGTACGGTCCTGCTGGGGTTGAACATCACTCTTAGTAGTGGAGAAGAACAGGAGGAAGAAAAGAAGTTTACAACATAATACTAAAGTAGAAAAGAGGTGGGGAACACATTGGATGAAGAGGGGGTGGAGGGTGAGGATAAAATAGAATAAAGAAGGTAAAGACAGATAAAAAAAAGCAGCAACAAATGGTAACAAAAGAGGATGATGATGATGTGTATAATTAATGAATCAAATAAAAATAATTTACACGCAAAGTTCCTCCAGCTTGTTGCGGTCTGTGACCAGTGGAAGCCCTCCGCCAGCCTGCGGTGCCACTTGTGCTTCCATTACACACATTTCAACCCTGTAGCGGTAATCCTCGGGGCATTTGGCTGCAGAGTAATGGACTGCTGAACAGAGGAAAATTTTTTTTGTTTTTGTTTTACACATCTGAAGAAAATGTGAATTAGATTTTAGTCCTATAAATAATGAGAAGATATATAAATTTTAAATAACAAATATATACTCTGAGAACTTGATTAACACTATATATCCCAGTTTTAACCCGGAGTGTTGAACATTATATTTTTTAAAAATTACAACTACCTAAATGTTTAAAAAATAAAATTCTTAGTATAGAAACTAACAAATCCAAGGGAAATCTACCATATGCTTGGAATAATCTTTTAAGGGAGCATGTAGTCTGTAATGAGATAATATTTAAATAGTTTCCGATTGTATGAGAAGGGTTATGGACAGCAGCATAAATAAAAACAAAAAACATCTTCTGCCACCCCAACATTTACGTTGTAACGGGCGACCAAGTGGAGATTTGCTGAAATCGAATGTGTTGGATCGAAGAGTGCAGATACCACAGCCTAGCTGTAAACAACAACACAGCGTGCCCTTTAATCGCAGTTGAAAAAAAAAGGAAGAAGAAGAAGAATAGATAGTCATGTAGCAGATACTGTTGTCGGGATATGCTCGAACGATCGGGTTGTTCCCTCCGGGCTGCTACTGAATGTTTATGATATCATCCTGAGAGTAAAGAATCTCAGTGTGGAGGATAGACCAACAAGGCAAATCCCAGAGAACCCGTTCAACCTCAAAGAATTTATTTATTAGGGCACCCGTAACGACGACACCAGCCAGATGTAATCTGCAGTCCTATGCAGATAAGGATGTCAGAGTCTGGAGTTTTAAGTCTTCTTACATGCTAGGCCACGACAAAAGGAGGCAGGGGTTCCAATAGGATTTTTTGGGGGGTAACCCTAGCTAAGCTAACCAAAAACCCAAGCAATACACAAGCAAAGAACAAAAACAAAAACCCAAGATTAATAACAGGTACAAATGTTATTGCTACAAAACGAAACATTCACCCACTTTTATATAGGATATATTTAAAAAAACACACAAGATGCCAACACCCTAAAGCGCCAAATTAAAACCCAGATCTGGGGGGGGGGGGGGGCAAGTATTAGGAGGGCTGACCAATTTCTGTCATCTTCTGCTCTTCTTCCCGCACATTTTTCCAGTACGCAAAGGAACGCCGTTGTGAAACCTTTTTTTAGGCATCGTTTTTTTTTTTTTTTGTCAGGGTTACTATAAAAGGCACTTTGTTGACTGTACCGGCATCGTTTTATACACTTTGTGGTGAGCACCCTTTTTTTTTAATCTAGGAAAGAAAAATCCCTGGTTCTACGCAATATCTTGTACTATTGTTTGACGTAGTTGAGTCTATCCCTTCGTCGTGTTGATTGGGAATAATTAAACTGTTATGATCTTACTAACGCAGTTTGTATGACGGCAGGTTTCTGTAACTATAGGGCTCACCAATGCAACTGACATATGGTTGAACGGGGTTTCTGCGATTCGCTTCTGCAGGTTTCGCATCTGAAAAAGTGGCTCATTGAGTATTCAAGAAGCAGTCAAGGAAAGCGTGCTTTACAAAAGAAAAACAATACTTCGGTACACGTAACAAACTCAAGCCCAGCAAACTCGGGCAGTCGGGCCCAGTACACTGTGACTGGACGTTCATTCACGCGTTCTAACCTTTCAGACGGGTAAGTTAAGTCGCAGGGGTGTCAGATGGGTGCGACTTTGTATTGCGTCGACGGTTTTACTGGCGACCACGCGTCCTCTATATTATAGGATGTGAGGGCTTGTAACGACCTCATAACATATACAGCTGGCCAAAACCTCAACCCCCCCCCCCTCCCCCCACCTTACCCCACACACTGAGCCTAGGTCCCACGTGAGGTTGCATTCTACACCCCGTGGTTTCAGACTTACATTTTGCGGTGACCCACGGCTATCATATACGCACCAGCAACCAATAATTCTGTTTACGAGAGAAAACATAATGTCGGCAGCCACTACTCACGGAACCGCGGAAAGCTTTCTGAAGACAACAGTACACCGGGACACCCCTCTAACGTAGACCAGCCTTAGCAAGCGTCACTGACAGGTCAGCTAGTATGTAGCTTGGCTCCAGTTCGTTAATAGTATTAACCCTTCTTGGGGTTTCTTCCAGATATGTATTAACGCCATACATATACACTAACCGTTGTGTCACTGTGGCTCCTCTATTTGTACTTAAGACCGTGTGAATAGTAAGGCAGGTCATGGTCAATGTTCCACCCGTACAAAACCAAAATGTCGTAAGAAGTCTAACAGCACCCCACAAACCCATGTATAGTTGTCTGGTCAAGTATTTGTTGATACATTTCATATTATATGAAATATATTACTATATTAAATTCCTAATCACTACATTTTTGTTTTAATTCTTAAGCATTTGAACAAGGATTTGCCACTGAGGCTTCTTGACTGGGCCCATTTCAAAGCTGTATGCCTGATTTTTATCTATAACTTATTATAATCGATCCTCTATTCCCCCCCCCTCCCCCTTCCCCCATCGTTATCGATTTGTATTCTGGCTGTCTGGTAAAATGTGCTCAAATAAACCAATCTTTGACCTCTTCTGCGGTGTTCTTAGAAGCTGACTTCTCTTTTAAGGATTTTTTTTAATGCCAATACTAGTGGCTCCGACTAAAAGAAAACATGGGGGGGGGGGGGGGGCGAATCGTGAACCCGCTAAAAAATTTTAAGGTCGGGGACCGTAAGTGGTTTGAGAGTACATAATAATAATAGTATTGTGCGGAATGGCAAATATATATTAAAAATTTGAAATAATATGGAATCTAACAGCTAACTCTATAAAATACCTCAAAACTCTACGACATGGCCATCGGCGGGAAAGAGGCGCCATAACCCTCTCCCCCCCCCCCCTTTTTTTTTCTCCCCTCTGCCTTGTAGTAGTGTAAGTCTCTTTAGACAAAGGCTATGGAATCAAACCATATGCGAACCGGCGGAAGGCAAGGTGAAACCACCGCTTTATTGTAGAAAATCATGCCTCGAAACATAACGAATTCAGATTACAACGTAAATGGGGATTACAGTGGAATCACCTCGTCCTTTATATGAAGAACAACACGTTTTGAAATATATCTCTGTTAATGATGGTTGAAAAAAGAATTCTTGCTTGCTACATACAATTAGTATTAACATATGGCTGTGAGTCCTGGACAATCAGTAAGAATGCCAAACAATTTTTTGAGGCCTCAGAGATGCGGTTTTACAGAAGAATGCTTAAAATACCCTAGGCAGCCAAAAAAAGAACAGCCAAGAGGTTTTGAAAGAGGCGGGAGCCCAATAACAACTTATCACAGATATCAGAAGGAGACAGTCATCATTTTTTGGCCATGTTATGAGAAGAGGGAAAATGGAACATGTTGTGACCACTGGAAAGAACTGTGGAAGGAGGGACAGAGGTAGACAACGAGAGAAGATTCTTGACAGTCCTGTTGCATAGCATGGAGGGGTGTCAGCACACGAACTGATACATGCTGCAGGAGATCGCGGATTGTCAGAAGAATGATCGCCCACGCCAGTCGGCAAGGCACTTGATGATGATGATGGAATCTACCACAAATACTTGAAAAGAGCATTTCTATACATGATTGGCCGCAGAGCCTTTTTTTTTATAATCTGGCGGGAAGCAACGTAATGCGGTACCGCCACCTGTTGGTGCATCACTTTTTCGGTGCTACTGTAACAGACACTTTGTGGTTAGTAAAATAAAGGTCCCATTTACATGCCAGTGGCGCCTTGGGCATATGAGGCCAAGCTGATATTTTTTTATAGAACGTGATAGGAGATGTGGTCAACTTCATACCGGTCGCCTTTACTTCCCAGGACTTTACCTGGTATCCATTTAAGTCGAGGTCGATCTGGAAGCCAAGGTTATGTACGGGAAAAAACCCAGCTCCATGCAGATTTGAACCTACAACCATTAGATCCGCATGCTATAACACAGCGACATTCATTTGTGGTGAGTACTGGCATTTTTTCTACATTTTATGGAAAGTATCAGCACCTCCTAAAAAAAAAAAAAACTGTTTTGGAGGATAACCTCCCTTACAAATGTCTCCCCATCCCACGACCTTTGTCTCCCCAGGTTCCAACGTCCTTGGCGATTTAAATTTTTGGCAGCTCGAGTTATTGTGGCCTGCAAAGCCATATAGTGTTCCCCCCCCCCTCCCCTTTTTTTTCAACCTCTTTTCGATGTTTTCCTTGCTTCGGTGCAGATCTATAAAGCAATGTTATTTTAGCTGAAAAATCTGCCAATCGATCGTTTCTGATTCTTGCTGTCAGCAAAATATAGCCGATTCTTCTTCAAATCCACACTGTAGGGCGATGGTCGACGAGACAGAGAAGGGAGGAGAGATGTAGAAAAAAAGAGAACGGGGCAGGGTTAGGAATGTATTATGAAAGAGAGCATAGGAAGTGTGGTTATGTATGTGTAAGACCGCCACCCTCACCCCAAAATGGAAGGGGGGGGGGCCGTGGCGGGTTGTTATAAGGTTAGTTGCGTATCCTTTACAGGACGTTGCAGAACCAACCCTAACAGCCCCTGGCTGTTGTGTGGCTTTTCTAGGCAAATTACGTCCAGTAGTTTGCCATTGCTTTCTAACGGTCGGCTTTCTTGATACCACTGTCGAAACCAACGCATGGCGCATGGCCCGCAGCTGGGATCGAACCTGGCATCCCGGCATAACGAAGCGTTCGCATCGACTTAGCCACAGAGCCGACTATCAAATAAAGGATGGAGAAAAAACATTAAGTTTACGGTTTGTTTCAATGTCTTCATCTCTTGCTGCCCAGAATAATAACCGCAGATATTCGCTGATTTATTTTTACTCTCTAACTGCATTACTCTTTGAGTCCCAAGGAACACATCATACGTTCATAGGTTCCTACCTAGAAGCTCAATGAACGCATGATGCGCCGATTGTATTACTTTCTTTACTACCCCCTGCTTATTAACCTCACTCCAAAGAAATAGTGAAAATCATAACTTATTTCTTAACATAGCAAAAACAAAGATAATGCATACAAACAAAACTGCCATGGAGAAGGAAATATATGTTAATGAGGACAGATTGGAAGTGGTGGAAATTTTCGAATATCTTGAGTCACTGGTTACCAACAATGGTGACACAATGAAAGAAATTAAACGGCGACTATCAATTGCTCTTCAAAGACTAAAACAACTGAATAAATTATGGAATTGTACAGATAGAATTACAAAGGTCAGATTTTTAAGAGCATGCATCTTTCCCAATGCAACATACGCCTGTGAGACCTGGACACTCACTAAACAAGCGGAACAGCGCATAAATGCATTTGAATATAAATGTTACAGACAGGTTTTAAGAATATCTTGGGTAAAGAAAAGAACAAATGCATCCATACTTCAAGAGCTGAATATTGAAGAGGGTTGGCTAGTAAAGACAATAAAACAAAGAAAATTGAAATATTTTGGTCACTTGAAACGTCATGGAAGTCTAGAGAGAACAATAATGGAGGGTATATGCCTGGGAAGAGAGGAAGAGGAAGGCCAAGGAGAAGATGGGTGCAGGATGTGGCAGATGATCTCCAGATGGGTGTATCAGACGCAGGACATCTTGCTCAGGATAGGAAGGTTTTCCGGAGGGTTGTTATGGCAGCGAGGTTCCGCGAGGGACATGCTACTGAATGAATGAATGACTACCCCCTGGGCCTGTGATGCTAAACCCTCTAGGACTCAAAGAGTCCCAGCATTTAAAAAAAGTAAAGGTCTCGTTTTACGTTAATGGCGTATCGGGCATATTATGCTAAACATATCTTTATAGAATAATGCGCGATATAGGCAACATCATGCCGCCCGCTCTTACTTCCCGCCTTTGTCTGGTACCTATTTCTGTCCGGGAGCCAAAGTCATTCCAGATCCATCGTATACGGATTCGAATCCAAGATGTTTGGGCCAGCAGACGAGAGGCTAACCTCTACGCTTCTACGAATCTCAGTGAATTCATTAGTTTCCCCTAATCCTTCGCCCGACGTCATCTGTGGCTTAGGCGTTGCAAACGCCCTCAGTAATGCCGGGGTGCTGTGTTCGATCCGAGCTGTCTTTGGTTCCAATCGCGCAAATCAACATTTATAGGACAAGAGGGATTTAGTGCGCGTACACACTGAGGAGAAGGGAACAGAGAATCCAGTTTGTTCTATTCTTTAAAAACAAAACAAAACAAAAATCAAAAACTAGACCACTGTCAACCCGCTGCCACTGTCAACAGTCTCAAGTTATATTTGTGGTGTGGTATATTTGCGCCATTTGCATAGCTAAGATTGTGGTTTGTATGCCAGCTCTCTAACTTAATGTTCCTTTCATCAGAGATAGACCGCTCCTTCCTTTTCTGTGTCCCATGTGTTCCTCCTATCATTTCCTTCCTAGTGTTTTTCTCCTGGAACTGTCCTCCGTCCCGTTCATTCTCCTTGGTATTTTGCCCATGGGTCCTCCAGTGTGTCCCCGAATATGTGTTTCTAGTTTTGGCAGGCGTATCTTGTAAGTGACCGAGCTAGTTTGCAACTATTTCTGACATAGTCCCTTCGGACCACCATTTATAGTTTTAAAATGTTGAGTGTTTTACTTTGCCAAAAGTACTGAAAACAATTTGTGCATTTGGGCAATCTGAAATTGCCAAAATAATTTGCGCATGAGGGTGGCGATGTTATAGATGTCTTCCTGTGAAAAGAGCGGATTAGGCACATACTAGTGATGTGGATGACAGAAATTAAAAGGCGGATGGCCATAGCAATGTAAACAGCCTAAAAAGTCTATGGTTAAGCACCAGCAAGGAGATTAAAATTTGAATTTTGAGAGCATGCATCTTCCCTGTAGCAACATACGGATGTGAATCATGGACTATCTCCCAGTCCTTAAGAAAGAGAATAGGGGCTTTTGAGCTAAAATGCTATAGAAAGATTCTCAGAATTTCTTAGACGAAAAAAAGGAGAAACGCTGACATCTCAAAAAGATCTGAATATCAAGGAAGATTGGCTAATAAACAGCATCCTGTCTCGGAAGCTAAAATATTTTGATATCAAGCGCCACGGCGAATTTGAAAAAATTATAGCAGATGGCATGGTACCAGGAAGGAGGGACAGGGGCCGACCGACACGAAGATGGTCACAGGATATAAGTGACTCCTTGAGTATGAAAGTTCATGAGGCGGGAGAACTGGCAAGAGACCGGGTTTCTTTCAGGCAGATCGTGATAAGAGCGATGCTCTGCAAAGGACCTGCTACATGATGATGATGACGACTGAAATGGTTGACGATCTGTGATTCTAAACGAGAATTGTCATAGTGCGGTCCGGTTGTTTGGGTTTGAAATGATAAATGGGATCTGGTGGGTGCAATAATAGAGAATCACCAATCAAGCACTTAAATGGGAAACAAATTGTTTGAAGTTTGAACAACGGATCAACATCATGGCATACGGGTAAGTGCTCTCTGTTCTTCTTCTAACTCAAGTCTGAGTCCAAAGAAGCTCAACATAGTGCACATGCTCTGTAGCCCCGGCGAGAATCCTGAAATACTTTGAGTAGATTTCTTACTCCAAATTTCGGCCGGGCAGCGACGTTAGGCTACTCTTTTCGATTTATAAATGTCAAGTGATTTTTTTTTTTACTTGCGCAACAATGTACACGGGCATCCGATCTCACTACTCAGAGACCGGGGGGGGGGGGGGGGGGGGGGGGGGAAAAGAATTACTAGAAGTTCAAGTCGCGTGAAAAAATCCCAGCCCTTTCTGGGGATTGAGCCTGGAGCCTCTAGCACTCGAGGCGGACACCATGCCTCGAGACCACGCAGCCCCCCTAAATTATTTGAGGAAGTATAGAATAAACTCTAGGATGATCGTTGATGAGTGAGGTCAAAGCTGCTGGACTGGAGTTCATCCTTGATACTGAAACCGATGCATACTATAGAATGGAATGGGGAAAAACACACAGAATTCGAACCCTATATGACATATAACCGTACAAACAGATGGATAATAAAAATATTATAATTATTTGTTTTACGAAACTTTACAATCCAACAGCAGGGGATTCGACTTAAAACACCTACCAAATTATAGCCAAATGCATAATCTCGTTAATTTTGTTAGTCGTCTCATATTTAAGTTATAGATCATGTTAGCATTATCAAGTTATAGTCAGCAGTTTGAAAGTGGCATATAAACACTATTTAAACTATAGTATGTATTATGTATACGTTTTCAACAATAAGTAAGCGATGGAGCACATTACTATTTTGATAAATTTTATATTCGACAAGAGAGATAGGGAAACATAACATGAAAATATGCTTGACAGCGTTTTGTCCTTCTGGCATGGAGGAGTGTTCGCACATGAGGCGATAAACGCTCTTGGAGATCGCAACTTGTAGAGAGAGACATGATCGCCCATGCCATTCGGCAAGTCATTAACTAAGATTATTATAAGCACGAATAATTGTAAACAAACTGTTTAATAATTAAACTATAGTAATATGTTGACATGTCAATATTACTCACTCAATGTGTATTTTCCGTGGGTTATCGACAGATATAAAAAAGAGTTAGTTAACATTCCTAGTAGTTTTAAACTTTTCTTTGATAAAGTACAAGCATATAGTGGATTACACAACGGGAAACATATTAAAATATAACTCACTCAATGATAGTTTTACGTGTGTTTCCAACTAATTTATAATTTTCACAACAAATTAAAACTTATAATGGTTTCATTGGCTGTTTTCTAACTGCAAGTATAAACTGTTTAAACTATAGGAAGACGTTCACATTTAAATATCACTGACTCAATGTCACATCATCACGTGTTTCGGTTGAGGTAAAAGCTACAGAACACACTAATATTTCTAGAAGTTGACTGTAAGTGTTTTATATTACAACTGCATGATAATAAAACTTTAGAAGTGATTACAATTAACTTATTACCCACCCAGTGGCAATTTTTTTTTTTTTAAACACATATACGTTAGAGAACAAACTAAACATTTATGTTAGTTATTTAAAAAAAAAAAAAAAAGATAAAACAATTTCATCAAACTGAAACTACAGAAACAGATGACAACGTGGAACACAACTCACCCATAATTATTAAAAAGTTCACACCCAGAAAGGCACCTACTGCAGCAGAGTTCGCCATCTTGTCTGAGAAAAGTGGGATTCTTAGCGTTTATGAGTGTTTATCTCTCCTCTCTCCGTTCCCCCGCCGTCCCAGGTAGAGCAGATAGACCAGGCTGAATTATTACCTTCAGTTCCAGAGTTTAACCAAGAATGTGCTATTTATAGACCCAGGAGGAGGCAGCGGTGGTGTGCGCTCGGACGCTGAACGTCTTCCTTCGGGTATCAAACGCTAACTGGTCTGGGAAGTTGGAACTTCATTGAACCGGAGTCACCTCTTCCCAGCCAGTCTCTCTGTCCGCCCAACTGCCGCCGTGGCCCGTGTCTGGCCGTTGCTTTCTGAGACAACTTATTTGAAACTGATTCAACTTTTTAGCATGATATACAGTCCAGGTTTCGCAAGTATAAAGTTTGCCGAAACTGCTTCTTGTCATTGAGATTCTAACATTGGTCTCATCGTCGATGTTGAGGCTCTCCTCCGAATAACGGGCACAAAAGATGGCGGCCGCAAAAACACCCTAACAGAGCTTCAGTCATGTGTCAATTGCCCACTTCCGGCGACCTAATTTGCGGTTTTCCGGCGACTACCGCCACCGCCGAGAGTATCCCCTACGCCGCTCACTTATTTCGTAATAAAAGATCTAAATTTATTGCAGGAAAAACAAAATATATAAATCAGCATTTAAAAAAAAATAATAATAACTAAAGACACCACCTTTCTTTCGGATTTCATCACGTCTCACCTTTTCCCCCTCAATGTATCAAGCGTTCTTAGGAATCGAATTTCAGTTCTAATTTTTGTTTCTTAATCTCTGATTTCTCAAGTCTAGCACTGGTAGATTATTGTATTTAACACTTTTAAACGAGAGAAGTCATCACTTGCTGCAATTATCCCCTCCCCCCACCCCAAAAAAAATTGGTTTTGTTTCCACAAAATTAGTAGTTGTACTAGGAGTCCTAGCTTTAATTTACTTCAAAATGTTGGTGACCTTTTCATAAAAACCAGCCTTTCTTATATTATCATCTACCATGTGGCTGTCATAGAAGAGATTCCAAATGTTTTGTAAGATTACACCGGGGCAGGGCGCCTGAACCGTGTGGTATAAAATGTTAAGATCCCCCCCCCCCTCCCAACAAAAAAACGGGGAAGGTGGAATCCTCTGGCTAAGCTTGAGTACGTAGTGAAGCTCTCTTTCTCTGTGTTTTTATGTATATATATTATCTCTTTTAAACAGTTCATCATTTATTTGCCATTTAGCACACCATTATTATTATAAAGAACTTAAAAAAGACTTGCAAGAAAATATGAAAGGCAGCTAAGGCTTCCTGCCCCATATTTCATTTGTGTTGGCGCCTCTTCAACAGGATTAAGCTAGGATTTCGCTTGCAATTGATCCACACTTTATCTTATTTGTTTATCATGGGGAGTCACCATAGCTCAGCGGCTAATCATTCGCTTGCTGGCCTGAGTTTTAGGTTCAAATCCTTACCAAAGTGAATTATGTTCCAAAAAATAAATGGGGGGGGGGGGGGGGGGGGGGGGGGGGGGTGGGGGTTTGTCAGTTGAGAGTGATGCAGCAGTTGCAATCTGAACATAACACGGACCTTACTCATCCTAAGCACTGGTGATCTTCTTCTTCTTTGCGTTCACCAGCTGTTAACTCTAGCGGGAGGTTCTGGTTGCTTGTCCACTACTGAACTGCAGTCCTGCTCCAGAACCTGAGTGTTGCTAGAGAATCAGTTTTACAGATTTTATTCTCTTGAATACAGACTGTTGGTTCCTTGCCTCTCCGACAGATGCACTCCGACTTCAAAGGAAGCTTTCAAATTAGTCGACTCTTACGACATGCTTTTGGGGAGGCAGTGGGTCTATTCTTGTTTTCCCCACAATTCTGCCCCGGAACCCACAGGGAGGGGGGGGGGGGGGGGGGCACGGGGGGGGGGGGGCCTTGGGGTTATTTTACATCACTGGTGATTATTTTATATGGCAAACTATGACAACACATTTTTGGTGTGACTGGTTGGTGGGTAGGTGACTGATCCCCTCTAGGATTAATGACTCAAAGATGAGAATCAGAGAAAAGCAAATAAAATTTAAAAAAAAAAAAACCACTGTACAACTGTTTAAACTAGCTATGTTAAGGCACTTCTACAATTATGAAAGAACTGCGATTTAAAGCGTAGATGGTAGTTGCATTATCTGAACGTTTTTACAGATTGGTTGGACCACTTTGGTTCAGTTAACATTAACGGGTTAAGTTTGTTTTCTTTGGTTTCCTGTTGTTGAATTGTTGAATGAATGTTGAATTAAGAACAACATAATAGCACTCGGAACACTCCTATAAGTGCTCTATCCCCATCTTCAGCAGCAAGCGAATAGTTCCAGTAACTGGGTAGGCATGCACGGCCGCAGGTTGTGAGCGTCCTTTCAATCTTTGTCCTTGGGCATGCCCGAAATGAACAAGTAGGGAGACTAGTTAGTGGAGCACAACTATGTGGTGCATTCAATCCACCAACTCACGTTGTTCTATCCTTCACTATTGTATGCAACCCACCCCATCTTTTTTTTAGTCTCCATCTCCCTTCTCCATGTGTTCTTCCCATGAAGAGGGTAGGAAGCATGATGTGTATTTAAGAATATAAATAAAATAAAAATATTTACAAATGAAAAAATATATGTACTTAGACATAAAGGGGGAATGTAACTAATTTTAATAAATACTGTATAACTTATCATAACCCACAAGCTTTAAACAGAATGTATGTTGTGTACATAAAACTAAATTTGCATTATTAACTCAGTCTAATGTGGCGCAGTGATATTTATCATGAGCATGAGAGAAATTTAAGGCTGTTGATGAGTGTAAAAGTGATTAGTCCATGTCTCACCTCAGGCGCCAGCCAGGTCTGGGCTGGTTTTACGGATCCTCATGCAAGACTCCTGCCACATTCAACATAGGGATGTCAGGTTAAGCAGTCATGTGCTTGACATAACGATTCTTTTGGGTCAGCCCAGGACCAGAGCGTCGAGTGTGAGCTGTACATTTATGAAAGCCTCTTTGGATAGCAGAGAATGCCGATGATCAGCCTCTCCATAGAAAGTAAATTCTGCGGGCTGTGATGATGACCACATGATATCACCCACCGAGTGCTGATTGGTCTATAAAACTGAGGTCTAGCACTATAGGCCTAATACCCCAGAAGGCATGGGAAAAGTCCTTTACTTCACTATAAAATGAGTGTTGACCACTGTTTCTGAAGATACAAAATCCCAAGTAATGATATCTGTCACTGGACTGATTTGTGTCCGCTGAGAGCTTTAAAATAAAACAGAACATTTCAGGAGAAAGTAAGAAACAGTTTAATTTAATATAAAAGATGGCTGATCTTTTGTAGATAATAACATACTTGTCAAATAAAAAAAATATTTATGTACCCCAACTTCTCTACACGATGTCCAACTTGATGTATGTTAAATTGCAAATTCAAAAGACTCAGTTTGCGACTGTAGCATCCAACATGTTATTTCAAGCCTGTCTTTGTGATATCGTATGTTATGAAGAATGTTAAATACTTCCTTGTTTGTTGTTTTTTTGTTTTAGTATCCAGAAGCCATGAGTTGTTACCCTTAGGCTCGGTATTATGGATATCGCAACCTTTCGGTCTTGATTCCATTGTAAATACCGTAAATCTGGGAGAAAATGTGGCTTTCCTGCCTACCCCCGGGACTGAACCCGGACCACAAGGAGTTTGTCACCCGGTCTCCGCGCAATCTGGTTTAGCCAACTACGCTAGAGAGCCGGGAAATACTTCCTTCAAAGGACAATTTTACCGTTGTCATTCTTAAAAAAAAACATAATTAAATGTCTTTGTTTGACGTATATGACTGTATGAGGGTCTACTTTCTACTTCAAGATTTATTGGACTTTTCCCACATAATGAAGAATGCAAATATCTTTTTCAAACATTTTAAAGTAAAGATGATATACAAACATATAAAATGTGCAAACAATGTTACATTTGCAAGATAAAAGTATATTTAGCACTGCTTAGTTTTGTCACTGCTGTTTATTATCAAAATGAATAAAAATCTCTAGTGAAATCTATCAACTTGACAGCAAATCACGGGTGGAGATCAGCTAGTTGTGATGAATAATCCTGCAGCTTTACTGACACAAATACTTCATACCTGAAGCCTAATTTCACAAATTTGACTGACGTCTGCTAAAACCTAAATCAGGCACCAATCAAACAAAGATACGCAATATATTATTGGTATTTTCAAAACCAGTAGGTGTACAACCTTATTTTGGGCAAAAATACAGCCAAATATTTTGAAAGCATGAGCACATCTAGCTATGAATAAAATGTCAATTTCATTTGCTACATCCAACAGTAGTGGTACATGACGTGAGAACATTAAAAAGTGTGGACTGAAATGCTTTCACATAACAAAACAAACATATTTTGTTACGACTTCACTATACAAACAATATATGCTCCCCCCAAAAAACTGAAAATATACGTGCCAATAAACAAAAGAAACAACTTATGTTTCCAACACCAACAGAGACGTTCTTGTAATGAAATGTAATCATTTTTTCGGGGGTTACCTTTTAGTTTCATGCAACTTTGAGTACAATGTGACTCACTGAACCAGAATTTCCTTCTTAATAGACTGTACAATGGAGAGCCTGCAGGACCTGTTCTTCGGTTTGTCAGCGCAGTCCTAATGGGCACAGTTAACTCAGGCGAAGTCTTTGCAAATGACTGTTAAATCTGTAATGCCTGGTCCTGAGGCATAGAATGATGGATGACCTGTCCTACTGGTTTCGGTAAGTGGTAGTCAACACTGATCTGATTATATTAACCCCTGACAGATCATGTCCCATTTTGCTTAAAAAAAGAAATATATATACTTTCTAATGATGATACTTTATTTCCATTAATGAATATGTAACAATGACACCGCCATGATAAACAAGGTCAGAAAAGATCCAATATAGCAGATTTCCAACACTC